CCATCACAAAACCCCTGCTGGGCTTTAAAAGTTTTTAATCCATAGCCTCTAGGCTGCAACGAATAGCATGCATGTTATCTATTTCTTATATGGGTACTATTTAGTCTTTCATACTGCTCATGATCTGAAATAGTTTTTCTTCTTCTAAAAATGACTCCAGTTTAAATGATTTTGATTCAGCTGCATCTGATTTTTGGTGAGTTTGCATATGACTTCCTGTCTGTGTTCAGCTCTGATACTTTTCCTGGCCCTGCGCACACCGCTTCTCTGTGAACCGTTGGGGGCGCCTGTGTAGGGAGAAATGAAACAGAGAGGGGTTCGCTCACCCATGCAAACAAGGGGCTTGCTTGCCTTTGAGCACTTGACCCTGGGGCACCTCAGGCCTGCGCAGCTACAAAAACAAAAAGGATCTCGAGTGGCTTTGAAACTTCCTTTCGACTCTGGCTCACTGAATTTCTTGACACGTACGGTGTCTCGGGATGAAGCAAGGGCATGGGTCGAGCCTGATGTCCCTGGAGTTGTGATGGGGTTGCTTCTTAGCAGTGTTTCTGCTCATGCTGTATGGAGCAAAGCCCTGGCACGTGGGGTCTTGATGGAGCTTCCATCACCTTGGGACAGTTGACACCACACAGTTACTCTCCTGTGCCTGCCCTTGGGGAAGGGTGAGCATTCCAGAGCCTGTTCCCAGCACCCCAGATCACTCTCAGGAGCCGCCTTTTTGTGAATGGCCCTGGGACCGTCTCTGGGCAGAGAGTTCTTACGCTGTTATTCCTATCTTTATTGTTATTATTGTTCTCTGCAGTGTCAAACCCATTTTCAAAATGCCGTTTCATCATTCACCTCAACATCACTGTATGGTAGTTACAGCAGGCAAGTACTGCATGTTTATTAGTTGTGGTACTAGTTAAGAATACTCCAGAGCCAACTGCCTGGGTTTGCATCCTGGTCCCACCTCTTCTAACTGTGTGACTGTGAACACTCAAACTCCCCGGGTTCAGCTTCCTCATCTGTAAAGTAGGGATAATAATCATCCCTGCCTCCTAGGTTGTTGCGACACAAATTGATAAGTGTTTATGAAGTATGTGAACAGTGACTGACACAGAACAATCACAATAAAAGCGTTCACTTTTATTATTATCAATATCATCACCACCACCACCATCATCATCATCATCACTACCACCATCGTCATCATCATCACCATCATCATCTCTACAGTAGAGGTTCCAAGAGTTAGCAATTGGCCTGAGATCCCGTTTCTAGTACAGGCTAGGATGAACACTTAAGCCCAAGAGACAAGACTTTTTTCCTCTTGGTCCATATTTTCTTATTCTACATGAACAGAAAACATACGTAGTTGTAAAAGATTGAGACGATATAGACGGCTAGATGAAAATGTAAGGCCACTTGGGACTTCTTCCCAGATGCCACCTCTCTCCCTAGAAGTAACCAGACCTGACTAATTGGTGTGCGTTCTTCCTATCTGCCCTCCAAGTGGGGCATGCATATGAAGTCAACGTACATATACATGTGTGCCCTCCCCATCATAAATAATAATAGCCTGTCCTGTAAAATTGATGAGGGTGTTAGTGATGCAGCTTTTAAAGAACTCAGTGTGGTGCCACGTAATACTCCGGCTTCATCAACTCCGTGAGGCACGCCCCGTTATTCTACCCATTTCGTAGATATGGAAGCTGTGTATCAGCAAGATCGTCAACTGCACAAGATCACGCAGTACTGAAACTGGATTTGAATCCAGTCAGACTTATCCCAGTGTTGCCACACACTTGGCCACTACTTCATGTGGCAGAATTTTATAGGCATTGTTTCTGTTTGATTTTTTTTTTCTTTTAGTAATGTTAGTGTGTACCTTTCCGTGTAAGTACATAGAAGTTTACTTCATTCTTTGAATGGCTGCATATGATTCATTGTATTATTTAAGTGCTTCCTTATTTGGGTGGTTTTCCTATTTCTTTGTTCTTTGCCGTTGTAAATAACACAGTATTGAATATCTTTAATACATATGCTTTGGGGCACATAGGCGAGAAATTCTGTAGGGTAGCTTCTGAGAAGTGGAATTATGGCTCAGGGTATGTGCATAGTAAATTTTAATTGGTGCTGCCAAGTTGCCTTCAAAAAGGGATTTTTGCTCATCAACAGTGTGTGGGAATGCCTGTTTCCTTACATTAGTCTTCTGTTTATCTTTGCCAATTTGATGATGAAAGATTTTTTTTATAAATTGTATTTCCCTGATTACTGGTTAGGTTAAGCTAATTCTTTGTTTTTTGGATCATCTACATTTTCTCTAGAAATTGCCTTTTGCCCATGTTGCCATTTATTTTCCATTATAGATGCTCAATATTATATTATATATTCTTAATAATAATCCTTTGAAATGTGTGGCAAGTATTTTCTGTCAGTTATTTCTCTTTTAACTTTGTTTTATGTCTAGAGACTTTTACTTTTTGTGCCTGAATCAGCCAATATTTTTCTTTATTGTTTCTAGATTTTGCCTTGCTTAGGAAAGCCTTCCTACCCCAAGTTTGTTAAAATAGTCACCCATATATTCTTCTAATACTTCTATAATTTTGTTTCTACTTTTAGCTTTGTAAGCTCTCTGGAATTATTTTTGTATCAGTTGTGAGTTAGGAATCTAGATTTATCTTTCTTTAAGTGGAGAACCAGTTACCCTCACCATTCATTGAATAATTTATTCTTTCAACTCATTCGAAACATCACCTTTATCATAAACTAGATTCTCTTGTAGGTGTGGCTATGTAGCTGATTCCTCTCTTCCATTCCACTGATCTATGTTCTCTTCCTACATCATATTGAAGCATTTTAATTATTTTAGCCTTAGAATAAATTTATATAGCAAAAGGGGAAAATCCTCCCTCATTGTTGCTCTCTTTTTTCAAAAAATATCTTTGTATTTTTGTGAAAATTCTTCTTTCATGTGAACATATAGAACAGCCTATCAAGGTCTATAAAGGAAACTTCTATGGGTATTTTGATAGGGAATGCATCACAATAGGTTCTTTTTTGTTTGTTTGTTTTGAAGACAGGGTCTTGTTCTCTGTTGCCTAGGCTAGAGTGCAGTGGCGTCATCATAGCTCGCTGCAACCTCAAACTCCTGGGCATAAGCCATCCTCCTGCTTCAGTCTCCCAAGTAGCTGGGGCTACAGGCTCATGCTATCACACCCAGCTACTTCTTCTATATTTTGTAGAGATGGGGTCTTGCTCTTGCTCGGACTGGTCTCAAACTCTTGGCCTCAAGGGATCCTCCCACCTTCGCCTCCCAGAGTGCTAGAATTGCAAGTGTGAAGCCACCATGGCTGGCCCCACTCACATTTGAACCCCAAATGTTCTTAAGGTCAGAAACTACTTTGTGTTGATATTTCCTATGCTTCTCTCCCCATGCTCACCCAACTCCTACTTGCCCCCATTCCTGCAAAAAAATCAATTAAAAATTTTAAAAATAGGCCGGGCGCGGTGGCTCACGCCTGTAATCCTAGCACTCTGGGAGGCCGAGGCGGGCGGATTGCTCAAGGTCGGGAGTTCGAAACCAGCCTGAGCGAGACCCCGTCTCTACTAAAAATAGAAAGAAATTAATTGACCAACTAAAAGTATATATACAAAAAATTAGCCGGGCATGGTGGTGCATGCCTGTAGTCCCAGCTACTCGGGAGGCTGAGGCAGGAGGATCGCTTGAGCCCAGGAGATTGAGGTTGCTGTGAGCTAGGCTGATGCCACGGCACTCACTCTAGCCTGGGCAACAAAAGTGAGACTCTGTCTCAAAAAAAAAAAAAAATTTTAAAAATAAATAAAAAGTAGTGTGTGGACAAGGACAAAAGCACCACTTCTGGAATTTTCTGGCACATATCACTGAAAAGATTTCATTCCTAGCTTCTCATTTAAGTAACTTCAATTTTTTCCCCCTTGATTATCCTGAGTACCTGACCACCATCTCATGCTCTAGTTGCTGAGCAGCTCTTAAGTTTCCGCAGGAAGGTGTGAGAAAGGAATCACCACCTGACCCCTGATTTCCTGTTGCAGTTTTATGCAGGTTCAGATGCAGGATGCAGCTACTTCTCTTTCTCAGCAGTGCTTTCCACATGGTCAGTGCAAAAGAAATGTTTTCACGATTGATGGAAATGATTTAATCACAGAGTCCATTGGATCATTTTTAGTTGGTGATGATTTTTTTGCAAGGCTGTGAACGAAAGGATTTTGTTCTTGTCGGGCATGCATTTGGAGCGTGACTCTAATGTGACTTGGCACCTGTCTAGAGAATTGTCCCTGTGTCCAGTGACACTTTGCCTTGGGAACGTCAACACCTGCTGTGATGGCATCTGTCATATTTAGGAATGTGAAATGCCCATGAATTATGCAGAGCCACCTCAGTAAAATGCTTCTTCAGAAAACTCTTAACATAAGACATTGGCACAAGATTGTTGTAAGCAGCAGAGAAGATAATTTGGGCTCCCTCTGAGATAAAAGCAGTGGTTAACGTATTTTACTGTGGTTTCTCTCACCTTGATGCAAGCTGGGGAGACTTATTATTTTCAGATTGTTTAGCCGAGAAAGCAAGAACCTGCTAAATAGAAGGATCGTTTATTTTTATTGGTTTCATATAAACCCACATTGGCCTCTAACGTAAATGTGGATGTTAATGTTTTGGAGGTGGGGTTTTGGAGAGATGGAGTGGAGGCATCTCGGACAGATGGCGTGTGACCGGCAGCCACCCAGCAAAACCCAGGTTGCTGAGAGGCGAGGCAGCCTCACCATGGCAGGAGTGCGTAGCTGGTCTTCAAGTCCCTTCCAGTTCCAGGGAGTTTAGATTTAGCTTCCAGGGCTGTTGCTGTAGGAAGTTTGGTCAATTGGACAATTATTTTTCCTTTTTCAGCATCTTCTCTTCTCTTGTAAATCCCCACGCCAGAAAAGTATCTGGGAGTCATGACAAGGACTGGACTAAATGTTCCCTACCTTTTCTCTTGCAGGCAGGTGACAAACATTACCACCCCAGCTGTGCACGATGCAGCAGATGCAACCAGATGTTCACAGAAGGAGAGGAAATGTATCTTCAAGGTGAGACAGACTTGAGAACAGTTTTCCCCATTCAGGGAAAGAAAATCGCCCTGCTTGTGGAATTGTTTTTAGAGAAGGAGGCATTTTATTAGCTGTGAGGCTACCCAAATCCAACACGAATGTGGCCAAAAGTGACCTCATCAGTTAGTATTAATCAGCCAAGCAGTTGACGTGCTGCTGGCCGTGAGCCCCTGAGGCTGTTCACAACTGAATTCACGTTGCTGCTACAGTAGAACAAATAGGACTGGACGTTTGATACCTTGGATGTAAGGGAAGAGTGAAAATCAGCAATGTCTCTTCTCCAACTCTCCCCAGGAATGTGCTTGGGAAACAAAAGATTAATAGGAGAAAGCATTTCTAGAGATTTCTAGAAATCTCTAGAAATGCTACTTATTTGGTAGCTACTTTGTCCTCTTTTCACTATCCTGTGGAAAGGATTTTTTTTCTTTTGTGGCCTCCCAGGTTGCTGTTCTCTGGGCAGTCAAGAAAAGGAAAATCTCATGTTTGATGAATTACTTCATAGACTTATTTTATCCCATTAAGATGACATACCTCTTATATTAAGAGAGACAGAGACAGAAAATGAGAAAAAACAAGAGAGAACAAGTCCAAAGTCCCTGAAAGAGAACTTGAGAAGTCTGTGGTGGCAAGGAAGTACTCATTATCACAGAGCCATCAGATTTATTTTAATTGAAAATAATTTGGAGAAACTTTCCCAGGCTAAAACTATGATCAGTTTTTATCTCCTCTAAAATTCTGAAGCTTCTCAGAAGGGCTTTGGGAGGGGATTCTCTTCTAGGCAAAGAGCACCATCTGTGCTACCATTTTACTATTTTTTAGCTGGAAAAAGACTCATTAATCAGGCAAGGTTTATCCGTAAAATTAGCAAGAGCTGTAGAGTTATTGCTTGTTCAATTTTGCTAATTACTAGGTCTCAACTGCCTTTGCATGTCATTTCTTCATCTCTATTTGCACATAATACTCTGTGTATTTTTAATTGTTTGCTTTGCTCTCTCAATTTTTTTTTTTGTCAATTAAGAAAAGTCTATAGAAATGATTTTTGAATATTAAAGCAAAGCCTTGGCTACTCTCCCCTAAAACAGTGTAGCTCGATGAGAAATTGACAACCCAAACTTCCTTTTAGCTTTAGAATAATCACTCTGAAAAAGCGTGATTAAAAGCATCCATCTTGAAGGGCCCCATGAAGACAAGTGACAAGTGCCGGCATCTGTGGTCTCACTTGGGCTTTCTGTGACACATTTTCCCAAGGACAGGCTGTACGTCTGCAGCGGCAATAGGCAGGTGTCACTTTGCATTTTTCAGCACAAAGCAGATTTATGCCTCACTTGGTCTGTAGGCTTTGTTTTAGATTTGAGCGTGTCAATTATAGGACTCAAACAGCAAAGACACAGGAGTGCATGTCAACTCTATTTCTGCAAGCAACAGAGACTCAAAGGCTCGAGGTGTAGTTCTGCAAATTCGCAGTGGTTCTGGAGGCCGAAAAGAGAGGGTGGCTTCAAGCTGTGCACGAATACAGCACAGTCATACTCCAAACCAACAACTGTCTGTTAAGGCTGCATTCAGAATTCCAGCGATTGTTCTAAACCTTCTGGAGTTGTGCTGCGGTAGCCTTTGCCTACCCTCTTGGCACGTCTTTGAAGAATGAGCAGTTTCATCTTCCTCAGCATCTGATGTCCTGTCCGAGTCACATTCCTTGTGTGTCTGACCTCCAGAGAACAATGTTGACATTGTGTGCAGACCCAGTGTTCTGGCTGGTGACTCTGGCCCCTGAGAACCTTCATGGCAAATGCTTTGCCTGGGCCTGGGCTTGACCATGACCCTGACCCTGTTCTCTCCACACTCAGAGGATTTCCTGTGCTTTGTAGTTAGCCTTTGAGCCAGTTTAGTGCTAAAGGGACCTGTACATCTGTCTGCTTTTTGTTTTTCTTTTCATTTTTTTTTTTGGCCCTGGGTTAACCAAGATGAAAATGATTGTTAAATAGAGATGAAAATATTTTTCTGATGTATTTTTTCCTTGTCATTGATTTTATTTTAGCTCAGTGGTATAAAGTAGTTCATGAGCTATTATAATTTGGTGACTTTTCAAGTATGCACAGGTTACTGCTAAAAGAGATAAAGATTTTAAATCATGAATTGTAGAAAGTCTGCATACACTGTGAATCTTATACTCATGTAATTGACTGCCTGCTTTCAACATAGGAACTCTGTTTGCTTTAGTCTTTTTAAGTGCTCATTCAAGTTCTGCCCATCTCCAGATCTGAACATGGGCTTGTATGGACATAGGGCTTACACACCAGCCTTACCCATAATCATATAAATGACATGTATGTCTAGTCAGGTAAAATCACACAAGCAGGCATTGGATTCTTACAAGATAAGAACTTCTATGGAAGATAGTGTTTTGCCTAATTCTGTGATACTGGTACCATCCATGAAAGTGTTTCAGAATCTGAGAAAGTGAGACTATTCACCCAGGAACGGAAAATAACACCTAAATAGTTATTTTACTAGTTTAAAAGCAAAGATCTTTCTTTTTCCTTACTTAAAAGGTTGAAGGCTAAAGGAAACTTTTGGATTGATAATGTAATCTTCAACCTTTCTACCAATTGGCTTAATTTCTTATCTACCTATAGGTGACTGTATATAACTGGATCAATGGAAAATGCAAGCAAGTTTTGCTTCTGCATATAGACTATCTGGCTTGACTTCATTTCCCTCAGCTAAACCACTTGTTTTGATATTATAGAAACATGACTTATATTTCTGAAATTAAATGCAGCTTATAGTAAGCACTCAGACATATCTTTAAAGGCTAATACTATGGTTTAAAAATACAAAGAGCCAGTCAAGAATTAAATACCTCTTGTGTCAGAACACTCTTGTGCCCAGTGAGTGGTCTCTGTGGTCCAGAATTATCACCTTTGTAAAACAAGCTCAGGCTAGAGAAGACAAACTCACCCAGAGTTTGGAGTTGTTTGATTTCAGGCTCGGGGGTCACTCAGGCATGGGGCTCTACCACTCCTGTGATGGAGAAAGAGGATGATGAGCCCTTCTCAGAAGTTCCTGTCTCATAGGACTTTGCATCTGTCCATTTCCTTCACTCTTAGTGGTGCGTTGTGTCTTCCCAGGTTCCACCGTTTGGCATCCCAACTGTAAGCAGTCGACCAAGACAGAGGAAAAGCTGCGGGTAAGGAAACGATCCTTAGAGAACTGTGATGTCAAGTGTATTTTTAGGCCATATGCTTCATGGTTGCCAATTCTTGGTACTAGGGTTTGGGTGAAATTACTGTTTACTGACTTTTTTCCCCCGATAGCAAACCAAATTCAAAAGCCACTTTGTTAGGGAGGGAAGTTCTCTCTTAGCTTAAATTCTTCGTTGTGTTTTTTTGTTCCAAGTGCTTGGGTTACGTGAAGTAAGCCTTTCCTCGCTAGTCAGCATCTTAGGAAAGTGTTCAAGGGAAAAGTCAAACCTTACAGATGGGAACAAATGATTCGTACAAGTTCTAGGTGCAACATCTGGTGACCTTCTTGCCAGACTTTTTTGCACTTGGTCCCTAGTGCACCACCCCAACCCAAGCTCTGCACCCGTTGCTCAGCTCTTGGTACAATTTATATTGACCTCTTAAATCCAAATTCACCAGGGTAGCCTCCAGCTCCAAAAACTGATGGTTTGTCAGATAAAACCTTTAGGGGGAATAATGATGAGCCCAGACATGTACATTCATCTCAGAACACCTCCAGGTGGCAATAGTTTATATCTGTTTCAGGAGCAAAGAGCTGTACACAGGTGTAAGGTCATGATCATAATCTGTATCCTCTTCACGTGCCTCTGATGAAGTATTTTTTCAGTGCGATAATGAGACTGAAGGAATCCCAGTCCCTCAGGTTACCTACCTAGTGGTATGTGTGGAAAACTGGAGTTTGGCTCCACTTGCCATCTCAAAGAAGATAGCCTGGATTTATTCTGGAGCCCAGACTCCAGTGTGTGTATAATTTCTCCTTCTCTGCCATGAGCAGGTACCAGGAGCTGTGCATATAATCCTCAGCAGCCGTGTGGCTGGTTCGTGGATGGGATCTAATGTGGGACTTCTCAAGGGATGACGTGGCTTCAGAGAAAGGACTAGCAGTGAGACCCAGTGGCTCTTTTTTTCAGTTCCCTGTGCCTGCCGCCTTGGGAACTGCAGCTCTTATTTTCTAGGGCCTTTTCTTTATTCTCTGCAATGAAACACACATATGCACAGGAGCTTTTTTTCCTTTGCTTTTTTTTTTTTCCTCCTTAACTGGCATCCATAAATCAGTTGGAGACACTTTACCCTTGCCTGTGACCCTGAACAAAAGCAGTTCTCCTAGAATTCACAATTATTATGAAGCATACTTTACGTGGAGGAATAAAACCCAATTTTTCTTAGAATAATTGAATCAAGATAAGAACAGCCGGAGAGGCATTTGTCCATCTGTATTAGGATGGTTTTGCTCTCTGTTCCTGACACATAACTTCCACCTGAGCACAGGTACGTGCTCCTGAAGTCCATCGGCTAGCCCAGCACACTGGAACGGTCACCCAGTTCTGGGCACTAGACTCTGGGATTTTTGAGGAACCCTGGATGCTTTGGAAATTAGTTACCGTTATAGAATATGAGAACATTAAAGATGTTCTTATTGTCACTTTTATAAGAATGTAAAATTCACAACATGTCATGGAGATGCTGCCAGAAACCACCCAAGTAGCTCGTGGTTTGCACTATCTCTCTAGTGTTGCTTTTAGTGTTTTGAGTAATCATTTTTAGTTCAACCCCATGAAGTCTTTTGGGAGGCAAAGAGAGGAATGCTAATGAGGCCAGACTGAATGGAATGTGTGTCTTCCTCTAGAAGGATTGCTTAAGTTTGCAGATGGTGTCACTGAAATGATTTTTTAAAAAGTCAATAACCTTGATCACATCTTGATGGAAAACTCTCTAGATGAGTTTATCAAAACAACTAGTTTTCCACCCATTCTGGCCGAGAGGAGCTATTGGTTTCTTCCTTTAGTAAGCTTTCCAGAAAATTCCAAAGCTCTTCTAAACCCAGCATTTACTACTTGGGAGGTCAGGTCAGGCTGACCTCACTGACTTTGGAAAGCCGGGTAGAGAGGAGGAGGATGAACCTTGGAGGGGAATAGGTGAGAGTTCCTAGAGTCAAGGTTCACACTGACATCGGTGGGGCTTGCAGGGGGAAAAGGTTTCAAACAGAGAAATAAATCCTGTGCTCTCTGAAGGGTGTGTCTACAGATCACAAATCTTGAGCCAAGATTTCCAGGCCTTTCGTGGCGTGTCACATTAGTACAGTTTCCATAGCAAAATGAAAATGTTTTAAGAATCTTTCAGCCACCCCATTGAGTAATCCACATTTTTTTGTATTTAAGAATTCATGGGGCGTTTATAACAACATTTTTAAGAATGTCTCTCAGTGATTTCATTGGCTTCTTTACCCTTCGTGTATTATAAGAATGTCTAAGCCAAAATAAATGGCAAGGAATTGAAGGGGGTTGGAACTTAGATAAATATACCGTAACTTGAAGACCAGTTAACATGCTTTTAAACATGGGCCCGACAAAAGCAATCTTAGTTGATGTTTACTATCAGGTTAGTTTTGCCCTAAGATTTTTTTATAGCATTTCTGAATTGAGACTGTTTCTTTGTTCATTCTCCCTTTTCTCATGTTTCATGGCAGCTGCCAAAAACGCATCGATCTTCATCCGATTTCTTTTATCCCAAAAGTCTGATTCGACGCACAGGACGATCTCCTTCCTTGCAGGTTGGCGCTGTGCCTGTGCTGGGGCTCAGAGCCGCTGTCCCGGCTTCTGTCGCTTTGCCCCCAGGGCTGCTTTTCTCACGTAACTTCTCCGGCTCCTGCAGGAGGCAGATGCTTTTCTCACCCCACGAGCGCATCTCACACCCACGAGTGATTCTGGCTTTCTTCTCTGATCGATGTTTTCGTTCAGAGTGGTGGCTCAAGCGTTGCCTCTATTAAAGCGAGCATATCACAAGCTGCCTTTGGTGCCGTGTTGCCACTTTTGCTCACGGAGCAGATATCCGCCAAGCGCCCAGGCGTGGTGCTGGGCTGGGATGCCACAGATCTAGCCCGGTGGGAAAGAAAAGACAGATACATACACTGATCACGAGGTGCTCCAGAAACAGCGCAGGATGTGGGTCTCATAGCCCACGTTCTTTGGAACGTCAGATGAGCTAAAGGTCTTACGGGGTACTTCCTGGGGGAAGGGGTCTTTGAGCTGAATTTTGGAGGCCAGCTGAGAAAGGGATGAGGAGAGAGGGGCAGCGTGAGGAGAAGGCAGGAGGAACGTGCTGCCATAAAGCAGTGCTTGGGTGGGGAGAGGTTTGGCCCATGGAAGGTGCAGTAAAGTGGGAAAGCAAGCAGCGGAGGGCAGACCCCTCCTCTGCAGAGGCCGGGGATTTGCATACAATCCCAATTGCTCCTCCTAAGGATTGCTGCCAGGTAGTTAGTCTTATTCCCATTTTACAGACGGGGAGACTGAGACCCATCTGAGTTAGGTACCTTCTTCCAGGGTTACCCTATTAGTAAGTGGAAGAGCTGGAATTAGAACCAGGTTTCCAGGAGCCCATAGCTCATGTTCTTCCACCGTACCACAAGGGGACAGTGCAAGAGCCACCTGGGAAGACAGGAGGAGGAGGACACTAAGTGCTGGCTCAGGCTGTGGTCAGGAGGCACTGACGGAGTGTCAGGGAGAAGGCGGCACCACCTGCCCGGGCGCCCTGTGGGCTGGCTCGCCGGATGAACAGCCTGGCAGGAGGTGACGTTCCACACACAGACCTGACCTTCTTCAGGGGCCCCTGGGAGTCGGTGGAACCTTGGCCTGTTAAACTAGAAGTGACTTTGTACAGTCCCATCTTGGCCCAGATGCCACCCATCCTGCCGCTCTGTGGACAAGTCAGGATTGCACTGCAGCCTGGTAGCCTGGGTGACATCTTTTTTCGTGCCTGTCAGAACCACACTAAGGATGAGAAGGGTTTGAGTTTCTGTTTTTATTAAAACTTCCCCTTCTTCCTTTAAATGCTGAGACAAAGAGAAATATAGAATTTTGAGCCAAGAAAGAAACCTTTCAGAGGTCAAGCCCCCTAGGTTTTTTCGTCTACAGAGTGAGGTCAGACAGATGGAGCCGTGTGCCCAAGGCTGCTCGGGCCATAAATAGCAAGGCGACCGCAGTGGCAGGTGCCCCGGCTCCTGACCCCGGGCCCCTCATCTGCCCACGATGCTGGGCTTCTACGACGTGATGTATTTGTCGTGTGATCTTCAATCTACTTTAAAGCGTCGGCTCCAGTGGTGGTGGTCCACACACAGCCAAATCAGTCTCGTTAATCTGGAGAAACAGCTGAAGACACTGCACGTGAGTGTCACTCAGCATTAGTGCCTCTGCTTGGCAAGAAGTCATTTTGTCAATAGTGTTTTTTTCCCAATAGTATACTCTTAACTCAAATAGTGTTATATTTTGTTACCCTAAGGTGACAGCCAGGTGATGGGTTTTCATAACTTGCAGAAAACCACCATCATCAAGTGTGAAATTTTTTGGTTTGCTCCAGACCCTTAAGTTTAAGAGATTTGGAGTATCTAGAGAGAGGGTGGGGAGCAGGAGAGAAATCTGTTTTTAATAACTTCTCTCTTCCTAGCCTGTTGTTTAAAAGGCACATCTGATTCTCATCACCCAGTTGTGAATATCAATGAAGTCAACTTTAGCTCCATCGCAGAAGGTTGTAAACAGCCTGGGAGCTGGCAGAGAAAGCTGGCTGTTGGGCAAGGTCTCGCTTCGCCTGCTGGCAATCCCGGGAGGCTCACCAGAACCTTCAAGAAGCCGGAAAACCCCAAAGCAATGCAGTTCTCAAGTCACAGATATTTTGATCTTTTAAGTACTTTGACCTACACGGCAGCTCATTTCCACCATATAAAATTAAACACCCTCAGTTATTAGATTAAATAAACTCCTTGTGGGAACATTCAGTACTCCGTGCCCCAGAAATAAGTCCTGGTTTTGCTGTGGGGGAAAGTCAGATTTTTATAGCAGGAAAGTCAGGTTATGATTTGTGTTGAGAAATTGCTCCATCTTTTTCCTCTTGCCTAAATTAAAAGGATAAAAATGGAATTACCTAAGGAAAAAAAATTTGGTTTCTCTTACTTGGAAGAGTTTTATATACAAATTTTGTCTGTAGGTAAAACTCAGTACTAAGCATGTGTAATACATTATAGACAAGGCACGTGGTATTCCCAGGAACGAGGCTGTAGTCATCTCGAGTGGGGCACTTGCTTTCATTCTAAAACGGAGTTTCTCAGCTGTACCTTTGGAAACTAAAGCATGAATTCACTGACCTACAAAATGGGCATGAGTTTTTTTTTTGAAACTAACATTCACCTATTATAACGTATGTACTTGCAAGTGTATATTATATCAAGCAAATGCCATATGTGTATTTTTTTAAAAGGAGCTAATCAGAAGAATCAGGTATGTCTAGAACAATGAGGTAATAATGTTGGTTGTTGGGTTTTATTTTGTTAATGTTACTCCAGTGCATATTAGGTTTTTTTTTTTTTTCAGTTATTTTTTTAATTTTTTTTTATTTTATTTTTTTATTTCGGCATATTGTGGGGGTACAGATTTTAAGGTTTCATGGTGCATATTAGTTTTTTCTCAGCTTCCACTTTGTTTGGGTATCGTATCCTCTTCATTGTGTCTTTACAATTCATCAGGCAGACAAATGTAGTGGTGTTAAGATTTAGGCTGGAAAGATGTCTTGTAAAGGCTGATGGTGTTTGTGTAACTGTCTGCAGAGAAGGGGCGTGTGCCCACCTGCTTCCTCTCCAAACACAAATTCTTTTTTCTCATAGGAGTTGATTTCACCCTTTCTTTCTTTAGCGGTGGGCATTCAATATGTGCAGATTTTTAAAGTATCCCTTCTTCTGCAGCTATTATCACCACCTTGTCTAGTGAACTTCAACAAAAACCCAAGGCAGGTACTGTCACCACCACCAGTACTTAGTATAAGGTGTTAGTCACCTTATATCCGTAGTTGTCCCGTAGATGTTCCTAAGATCGTTCCGATCTGGTTGCCAGTTGCCTGTAGTTTCTCTCTCCTTAGAGCATGGCTTTGGATGAATGCAAACTAGATGAACGTAGTTGCATCCCCGCTCTGCTGAGTCCCCGGGGGAGGGCAGGGAGGGTGGGGACAACAGAGTGCTATCCAGCACTCCCCTTCCAAGGGGCCCGTGAGCACGGTGGTGCATAATTGAAAGCAAATGGAAAATGTCATTTGTCCACTTACTAAGCAGGCAGAGCTCTGGTAAGTGTTTTTAATGGCTAATGTTTGGAGAATGATGAGCGCTGGCGTGGAAACATAAAAGGATCTCTTCGCTTCATTTTCCTGCTGTGCCTCCCACATGGTAGGACAGAGGGACACGGTCAAGGCATAGGGGAGTAGCCAGCTGAAAGGTAGAGGGCTTTCAAAGGGATTTCATGAAGAATACAAAAAAGTGCGTTTTCTCAAGCATCTAGCTACTTATTAGGGATTAATTCCCACTTTCTTCCCGTTGAAAATGAACTGCTAGTCTTCTGCCTAGGCCTCTCTTTGTCGATTTTGGGTTTTGAGGAAAAATTTTTAAAAACTTGTTGAAATCAAAAGTGAACACATGAAGGAAGATGTGCTGGGGAAATAAACACAGAGCAGATGGGCTACTTCTTCATGAACGTGTGCATGAAGACAGCCTCGTGCAGCTAGAAGGTTCTTATGGAAGGCTCCTTTCTTCTCTTTGCCAGAATAAGGATTAAACTATCTGCCTAACCTTATTGGCAAAATACTTAGAGAGATTACAGCCTTTGCAGTCCTTTCTGTATCTACTTTGTCTTCTTCATACCTCCCTACCACACCTTTATATATATATATATATATATATATATATATATTTTTTTTTTTTGCTTAAGATGGCATCAAAAGAAAGAACTGACCTTTTCCAACTGTGCTTTCAAGTTGGGTTTTCTGCCAGCAGAGGTGCTCAAAAGAAAGTAAATAAATTGCACCTGCTTTCAGCGGCTTTCTCATGCGTCCTTACTGTTTCCTTTTCTCCGTAGAACAGAGTGGGCATACCTTTGGGGATAAATAGTCGAAGTCGTCTTCATTTATAATATAGACAGGAGAGTAATTTTGCTCATCAAATTTTCACAGAGAATTCTAGAAGCAAGACTGCTGACTTGTCAGGTTATTAAACTCAGTTCATAATGATTTGGGTCACTGTTACTACCCTGGACATGAGAATGGGTTGAAATGGTAATTTAGGTTAAATAATTACACACAAGGATGACCGGTGGAAATCTGTATAATCTCATCATCCCATGAGATGATGCTGGGGTTGGGTTAACGGCGGAGAAGAAACCGTCGGTGGGCCGTGAAGGGAGGAGAGCATGTCAGCAAGTTAGTACTTTCAAGGGTGACGTGGGTTTCGGCCCGAGTGAAGATGGGCTGCTGTGTTGGAGGGCAGCCCTGTGCCTTTGGAAGGCAGAACAGCAAGTCATAGACTCATTACCAAAAGAAAAAATAACAGCTGGAAGAATAAAAGGGGCTCTTTTAATAATGAACTTGGTGTTAATTTAAAATTCAGCATGTTTAGAAGTCTGAATGTTTAGAATTGAAATATAAAACTCTAAATTATTGAGGATTAAAACTCCAAAGATAATTATTCAGTTTTAAAAAGTAATTTTATGATCTTTGTAAGGGAAAGGCCTCTAACCTCCTCCAGCTGAGCAAAGACACTTTGAGAGACATTAGAGATGATGGCAAAAACAACAACAGGCGATCTGTGTGTCATTTAAGCCTGAATACAGTTCACGAGGCAGCAGACCAGGGACTGTCCTGGCAGATGAGACAGGCCTGTGCAAGGTCATTGTCATTGGCACGAGAAAGGCATTTATATTACCGGAGTTGGGCCACAGGCAGGAAGCCGCTGTCTCCAAGAGGATTCGGAGCCACTTCATAGAATTCTCAAGGAGATGAGGGATATTTGTCAACTCCTGGCGGGACAGCTGCCCCATATACTGTGATAAATTACTTAACATATCTGAGTTCGGATGGGACGGAGTCCAAGTGTGGTAGCCGTGGAGAACTCTGGGGAGGGCCACCCTGCGTAGCTCACATTTGAAAGGAATAATCTCTCATGTGGAGCTAAAACAGAGGCAGGACCATCCTGCATTATTTGAGATCAACTGCCTAAGACATCCAGGCTGATGCCAAGCATCTGGAAAATGTAGACTACTCGCCATGTGCCCGGCAGGGTGCTTGGAATTTTGTTTGTAATATTTCACTTAGCCCTAACGAAGTAGTTGTTGTTGCTAATACCCTCTCTCCTTTCTCAAGGAAGTTAGAAAGAAAGAAAGAAAAATTCATGTGACATCACACAACTAATAAAGCCCAGATGTGAACTGAGTTACTTGGTGCCAAAGCCAGCCTTTCCAGCCCACTCTATTACGCTACCCGTAGTTGTGTTTTATCCCATTGTTTCCAATAGGGACAGAAAACAGAAAAGGGCCATTGTGAGAAAACAGGCAACCAGGAATGCAACTCAACTCGTGAACAAGATGCCTGGGGAAGTACATTTTACTGTAAGGTTAGGAGGTCAGAATGAAGCAAACCTGAAGAATGGTAAATTCAAGGAAAGAAAAAGCAATTTCTGAATCTCCAAAATACATTTAGAGCATTTCTCAAATGACACTAAATAATCCGAAGACGCAGGTGGCAGAGTAATCACTCTTCAAAGAGCCAGAGCATCGGCAGATGGGGTGACCAGTTGACGTGACTTTGAAGAAACGTCTGAGTATAAAAATCTAAAATATTTATTTCAGAATCAGAGAACTGGGAAGCGGGGGCAGGTGTATGCAAATTGGAGGTGATTCAGCTCCGAAAACCTTTAGAGGATCAAATGGGACTTGACAAAAATTCAAATTGTCTAAGAACTCTTCAAACATTTAGCTGAACAATACTAATGGTATAAACAAACAAGATAAATCCTTCAGAGAAAACCTACATAATTCACAGGATCCACTAGTGCAGTCAAGAAGGACGGTAGAGAGAAACTGAAGTGAAATAGACCAGCGTAGCCAACAGACCTCTTTTTTCCATGGTGTTCTTCACCCTAGAAGAGAGCATTAAAGACCCCCTCACTGCCTGTGCCCCTGCTGTGTTCTCCCGCTATATTCCTATCAGCAAACAGAACCCTTCAGAGCCAGCCCAGGTGCATCGTTACAGGAAAGGCAGAAAGTATTTCTGAGCCGCACTTGGCAAAAATATAGGGATGAGTAATGTATGAGAGACCCCAAAGCTGCAGTGTGCACTTTGCACATTCACACAGTGTCCTGGACGTTTGTTAATGACAACAGGCCTTTGTCACGGCAACCCGTGTAACTGAAGCCATCCTTCTCTCCTGCAGCCCACTCTGTCCCATCCCACCCTGACGCTGTGAGCTACAGCAGTTTTCCGACAGAGCTAGTGCAATAAAAATACTTTCAGGTAGCAGGCATTCTCTTCTACTTTATCTCAAATATCTCGCATAGCTGCGCTGATGGGAAACAAATGATCACACCTGCCTCACGGCATAGGCAGAATTTTAAGTGCAGGAGTTTAAGTGCCTGGGCTCTGAGACCCCCAGGGTTTCTGGGTTCAAATCCTGATTCTGCCCCTTTTGTGCCTGTGGGGCTTAGAGTACTTATACTTTTTCCTTATCTGTAAAACAGGGATAATAACAGAACCCTACCTCATAGGCTTATTGAGAAGATTAAACGAGATAAAGCCTGGGAGGAGCTCTGCACAGGCCTGCCATGTAAGAAGTGGGCAATAAACATTAGCTGCTATTAATGTTCTTGGGTTCCAATTTAAGAGATTTCATTTTGATACTGAGTTTGACAAATGTTAGATGCTGACCACTTGAAGCTAAAGGACTACCTGTAATTAATAATTATCCCACAAAGATAGGTGTGTCTTTAGCTGTTTTAAGGGGTGGCATCTCTCCGCAAAGGAGGGCTGCATTTTGGCTTTGCCACTTCTATATTTCGATTAGGAAATGGTTCTAGAAACTGGAAAATTTTTGAGTAGTATCATGTGAATCCTTTCTTTGTCAACATACTCAGATGTGGAATTTTTCTCATATTGAGATAAGTCTGCAATTGGCCTAACTCTAGAAGGAAAGCGCTTGTATAATACGTGGCAGGTCAGGAGAGGAGGCCCAGGAGCAGTGAGCCAGATACACCGCCACCTGGGCACAGTGTGATGTCTGCCACCCCTATCCACCCTGACCTCAAAGATACCAGAGACGTCAGCCAAGAATGACCACAACCCTCCAGTGAATTCTTACTTTAGAGGGAGTCTAATCTCTGCCCGACTTGAACTGGCCAGCCATGTTTGCCTTCATTGTTTCAGATGTGAATTCCATAGGGATGTAACACCCTTGTTTTTAGTTTTTTTGTTGTCTCAGTTGCACCCACATTCAAGGTGTTGGATGTCAGTAGAAACAATACTGAAGAGGGAAAGGTCCTATTCCTATCATAGAACTATAAATTATCCTCGCCAGGAAATAGCTGCAACAGAGATAAGGAAATATTCTAAGACTAGGCCTTTGGTTTTCTTTGCAGAGCTTTCCAGAATATGGCAGTTGAACCTAGTTTATGCATTTCCTTCCCACTCACATAACCACCACTCACTCTCTGTGTTCTCCAGGTTTGGATTATAAAGCCCAGTTTCTTTCAGCTTTCCCGAAGGCCAATCACCAGCCCTACTGACTTCAGTGACTGTGGTTAGGCTCAAATTGTGCAATTAACATGAGTCCAGTGTCCACAAACCGAGTATTTGTTTACCAATAATAAACTCTAGCTCATCCCCTCAACCAGTATTTATGCCTTCGATGTACCTGTGCAAAGCTTTGGGTATGTACAGCGGTAACAACAAATAATAATAAACTCTGTGGGGGCAGAGAACATCACTAAAGTTCATGAGAGAGAGAGAGAGAGACAGGGTACAAGGAAACCATTAAACATGCAATTATAAATTTTATTCGTCAAGGAAAAAATGAGAATGGCACTCTGAACAAAAACAACAAAGGGAACCAACTCTGGATTGGAAATCAGAGAGGACCTCTCTGAGGAGGTGATATTTAAGCCAGGACTGAAAGAAAAATAACAATCAAGCAAGTGAAATTGGCAGTGAGAGCATTAAAGGGCAGAGGGCGCAGCAAGGATGAGAACTCTGAGGCAGGCACGTGTGCCTTGTTGTGTGAGTGATGACGGGTGGTGAGTGACAAGTGACAGGTAGGAGAGGAAGGCAGGGACAAAATCCCAAGGCCCTGGGAGCTGTGGCTTTATTCTGCTTGGGCACTGCAAAGCAAAGCCAAAAGCAGAATAGTGACAATCCAAATTATGTTCTTAAAAGATCTCCCCAGCCACTGTGTGCCCAGTGGGCTTGCAGAAGGCCCGGGTGAGAGGAAGCCCCCAGGTGAGGCCGTTGCCATAGCCCAGATGAGCAGAGGGGATGCGGGGGCTGGGCTTGCGGCGGTGGAGGGAGAGAGAAACGGACGACTTTGAGATGTGCAGCAAGGTAGGACCAGAAGTTCTCGCAGGAAACAAGGAAGAGAAAGGGACTGAGAAAGACCCTCAGTGCATTTCCAAAGCTTGGTTGCACAACCAGTTTTCATTTACGGTTCCTTCTAGGTTGTATTTTCTCTTATTGACAATGGTCGCAAATCTTTTCTTTTTAACTAGCTAAGTGTTTAGTGAAGCTTAAGGGCTCAAACCAAACTGGATTCTGAAGCCATGCTCTGAAATCTTACAAGTCACTATTTATTTTACAGCCCACCAGGACTTCCTCCGAAAGTATTTATTCTAGACCCGGCTCCAGTATCCCTGGCTCCCCAGGCCATACAATCTATGTAAGTATCCACTTCTGGAAGTGACACTCCTGAGGCAGGTAAGTTAGTGGGTTGTAATAGCAGGATGGATAATCCAAAACAGAAGCTATTAATAATCAAAATGATTTCCATTTCTGTTACAAGATCAGTCTTCTCAATCGTATTTTCCTTCAGGCAATTAAATTTATATGCGACCATCAATGGAATAATCAAAAGATGACTTATAAAATGTAGTACTATGATGCAGGACTTAGAAAAATTATTGCCCTTACCCTCCATAGAGATATTTGGGGATTAATTATATATTTTATAATATGATGCTGATACTGAGTCTGAGTATTTTTAAATTCGGCTACAAAGATATTTAAATACTTAGTTTATTAAGTATGCAGTTCGTGTTGTTAGCTATATGGAAGAATTATGTGACCATCTGTTTGAGTATTTCCTTCTCTGTAATAAATTTAGGAAATTATCCTTAAGGTTTGCATGTTTCTCTATCTAATGAATTCTACCCAGATTTTTTTTTCCTAAGCTTTCAGTGACTTTTTAAAAAAACATGGTTGATATATGGTGTAAATGGGCAACTTTCTACAGAGGTATGAGTATGCTAAGCAAGGTGTTTTGGTTTTTCTTTATTTTTAAACAAGATAGGAAATGTACTAATTATAGTTCCCCAAAGAAATGAGACTACAGAGTAATTTTTCTTTCTGGTTCACTTTGCCAGGCAAAAGTAGACAATGAAATCCTGGATTACAAGGATTTAGCAGCCATTCCCAAGGTCAAGGCAATTTATGATATTGAACGTCCAGATCTCATTACCTATGAGCACTTCTACTCTTCGGGCTATGATGACAAACAGGAGAGACAAAGCCTTGGAGAGGTAATAAATTCCTGGTGGTTGCGAGCTGTATAACAATTTACCTTCTCTTTTGTCACATTTATAACAACTACTGTTTGGAGTTCAAGTAAATCAGATGGTCTTTTGTCTGCCTACTATTTGCAGATTTCTATACCAGGTGCTCTCAGGTATTTAAAAGCCAGAAACATGATCCCTGCTCTCAGGGAGGTTAGGAGAGGTGGGAGGTCAGACCAACTGCACAAAAAACAACCGTGAATGATGAATAAGCCCCAGGATGCTGAGTGGAAGCTGCAGTTTGGGAGGAGGGTATTCTGTGAGCTGGGCACAGGGATAAGAGGGAGGGAGGATCTTCTAGGAGTCTTGGTCTTGAGAGAAGCTTCTAGTACATTCATGAGTTCATGAAAAGAGAGAACACATCCCCTACATTTTGGTAGCTGCAGTTTTCAGCATCTTAAGATAGAGTGTGCAAGAAAAGAAAAATAGAATGGGGCAACCATATAGCATAGTGGTATGAGCCAGGGTCCTGGAATCCAGGTACCCGGTCTCAACCCAGGGTCTCCACATGCTGGTTGTGTAACTTTGGCCACTGACAGCCATTCTGATCCTGATGATTCCTTATGTGTGGAACATAGGATAATGACAGCATCTACCTCATAAGGTGTTAGTGAGGATTAAATAAACTGTGCAAAGCAATTATTACAGCACAGGCTTGTGGTCAGTGTTCAGCATGTGGCAGCTACTCCCACTGTTGTTACCTGTCCTCTTGTGGCTTATTCACACCCCACCAGCAGACTCAGACTACTGGGCCTCTCAGCCCCCTGGAGTCTCCCATCTCACCTTAGGGTTGGAGGTTCTCTTTGTGGCTCCCTGCTCCCATGGCTTATTCAGCTTACTCTAATTTTTCCCCTTTTATTTTTTAAATTGGAATAATCTATACACTTATTTGAGTCTACTCAGATTCTACCCAAGTAGAGGACTGAACTCAGCCATTCTACCAAGTGAAAACAGAATGTAAACCACATGTAGCATCATACAGTGCTTTGGGGTCTCAAATGTGTTGAAGAAAAGGCATGAAAATGTGGGGATTCTGTTTAACGTATTCTCATGTACATATATATTTATTTTATGATTATAATTATACTTATTTATATAATAATTATATATTATTCCCTTTATTTTCTAATCTGGGTTTTATCTGAGAGCATAGCTCTGCATCGAAATGGTCCACTGGACAGGAAGTGATATCCATTTTCATATATTGCCACCTAGTGGTTGCTCGGCTGTAGCTGCATCTTGGCTTCTCAAATGCAGGTTAATTGGCCTGGGTTTTTCAGTGGCCAGTGAACCTGAGGGAGTGTCATAGGGCATAAGGGCAGGGGAAGGTTCCTGAACAAAGTACATAGGGGATAGTCTCAGACCAAGTGTATGAAAATTTACTAATGTTTAAGTCATACAAGCGGCAATGGGGGTGTGAGTTTTTTAAATGGTGTTTTGGGTGGGGCAGTGTCTGCCTGCCTGCCTGTATGTGCTTCATAGCAGCTGCATCTTGGGCAGCAAAACATCAAGCACTGAAGAGTTTGGGCTTTGAGGTGAAAATTTCTGCATGTAAAACCAGATTCTGATATATACTGACGGTATGACTTTGGGGAAATGACATACCTTAGTCTCATTATCTGTAAACTCAAGATAGGGAACAGTAACACCTACCTTAGAGGCTTTCTCTAAGGATGAGTTGATGTATTGGAATTAGAAGAGTCTTTGGCACATAGTAAGTGCTCATCAAAAATGCCAGCAGCTCTCATACCAGCACGGTACTGCCATAACCTGGGGTGAGGTTTTCCCTATGCATGGAAAATACCCCTTGAATCAGAAATCAGATGTATTAGTGAACTCTTCCCCAATATGTGGATTTTGCAACTGTGAAAACTTTACAAGCTGTTCTATTATTTATCCTATTAGTTTTTGTTTGTTTGTTTGAGTCTCACTTTGTTGCCCAGGCTAGAGTGAGAGCCTAGCTCACAGCAACCTCAATCTCCTGGGCTCAAGTGATCCTACTGCCTCAGCCTCCCGAGTAGCTGGGACTACAGGCATGTACCACCATGCCCGGCTAATTTTTTGTATATATATTTTTAGTTGGTCAATTAATTTCTTTCTATTTTTAGTAGAGACGGGGTCTTGCTCAGGCTGGTTTCAAACTCCTGACCTCGAGCACTCCACCTGCCTCAGCCTCCCAGAGTACTAGGATTACAGGCGTGCGCCACCACACCCGGCCTATCCCATTAGTTTTTAACACTTCTTTTACAGAATCCATATACATATTGCCATTTTAGGAACACCACAATAGTAAACTTAAAATCCCTTGTAGCCCATTGGTGCCTCCAGAGCCCTGATAGCAGCGCAGGGGCAGACCCTGCCCCCAAGGAGCCCGGCTTTACCAAACCGAGATACCCTAGAGACAGGCTGTAGCTGCAAATGAGACCATGGGCTTGAGGAAGCTTGGGGGGCAAGAGAGGCCACCAGCTTATTATAAACGTGGGAGAAAGGGCGTATTCTAAAACTAAGAAATCCACCTTGCTGTGTTCTCCAGAATTCTCTGTTTTCATTTCATGTCTTTGTGAAAGTTTTTTGCATTTTAATTGTAAACATTTCATTTATTCATTCGGAAAATATTTGTCGGGCGCCTAATATGTTCCAGGAGCTGCTCTCATCACTGGGAATACACTGTTCTGAATGAACAGTCTTTGCCCTCATGGAACTTGCAGTATCCTGTGGGAGACAGACGGTAGACAAACAGATCTGTAATATAATTTTACAGAGTGGGCGAGCTATGTGGGACAGTGAAGCAGAAAGGGTTGGGTTGCTCCTTTAAGTGGGAGGGTCATGGAGGTGCCGCGTGACACTGGGTTAGAGCAGAGACCTCACTGCAGGTGCAAAGTGAGCCCTGCAGGTGTCTGGGTGAAAAGCACTGGTGGCAGAGGAGGCCACACATGCAAAGGCCCTGAGGTGAGAGAGGGCTTGGCCTGTTGATGGCCCCAAGCAAGCCGGCGTGCCTGGAAGGATGGAAGCCAGAGGGGAGTGTTGCGGAGGCGGCCAGGGCAGGATGCCACGTGCCTGGTCATCACAGTCCTCTTTACAGCGATTGCTGTGGTTGTAATTTAGTCAATAAGCACATTTACAAAAATCCTGTTTCAGTAGATGATGTGACTCATCGTAGTAAAATGAACATAGTTTGAACACGTGGGGAAAATAGCTCCAGTTTATCTGGCTTAATCACCTAATTCACACATATCACAAAGTATCACAGCATATCTATTATATTAAAACCACGGTTCTTAGGCAGAGACGTGCACCAGAGTCTCCCAGGAACTTTGTCAAGAGTTTTCCCATGTGAGCCCCGCGGCAGCCTTACTAAATCCAGGTTGGGGGTGGACGGGGGTGCTGGCCTGGGTATTTTGGGTAATGTTTCCAGCGGATTCCGATAAGCAACTCTAATTAAAACTGGTGAAGGGTTAGCAAATGTTGTGACTTTAAATTCTCTCTTATTCTTCTAGTCTCCAAGGACTTTGTCTCCTACTCCATCAGCAGAAGTAAGTACCGTTTTTGACCATTTGAATGGGTGGAATTTGAGAGTTGCTAGAATTTTTTTCAAAAGGACGTAACACACAAAAGGACAGAAAAACTGCACGTGAGGTTATGGTGGGTGTGGGGATTTCTTACGTGTACGACAGGGACCGTAAGACACAGCGGTGAACTTCTAAAGTAGAGTTGGGATGTATAAATGGCTTCCCACTGATCTGAGCCTGCACCTCTAAATGGCAGAAAAGTGTCTCTCTGCAGGGACTGAAGCCACTTGTCCCAATGTGGGACTCTCTGCCCTCGTCTATAATTAATGGATCTGAATCCCAGTACACTGTCCGTTATCCAAAATAGCCAGCAGTGGCCATAGTGTGTTCTACATGCAGAGCCATCTTCGTAGGTAGTCACTCCATTTTGTCTAAAATCAATCATCTGGTCTTAAAGCCAAGCAACTTTCTGGGTATTCTTTATAAAATTAGATTGATTGGAAGGAATCTCTGTAATTCAAGACTGTAAAAATCCTGTAGTATTTTCATGGTTTGTGCCTGAGTGCTATGATTAATTAATTTCCACTAGTATTCTGATAATTTACAACTGAAATTATGAAGAATTAACTTCTATTATTGACCAATTTCAAGGTTGGAGCACGTTATTTGGGGCTTTTTGTTTTGTTGTTGTTGTTGTTGTTGTTGAATTTATTGTGATAGCCGACTAGGATCAAGCCAAAGTTTCCTTGCCATTTGCTCTGAAATTCCACAAAGCTATGGCTACTGAGGTTTTAATCATTATCTGAGGTTTTAGTCATTATCGTGCATTCATTAAAACTTTTATTTTTATCGTGCTAGTAGAAACTTTATAGGACAACACATTCCTAAAATAAAAAATATTCTTTGTCCTCTTCCAACTCTTTTAGCAGTTTTATATTGTGTTTGTGTATGTGTGGGTTTTTTTGTCCTTGTTACCTTTGTCCTTGTTACCTATAACCTTTTCTAGGTTTAGACATTGGTGACATATTAGTGGTGCTATCATATTACATTGAACTGATATGTTGTGATTTCTTAATTATGCCCCAGTTTCTTATGCGTGTAATACAAATTTTTGCCTTTATGAAGGACAGTAGTATAAAAATCTTTGAATAAATTATTCCTTTTAAAGATAATTTTTAATTATTTTCTTAGAATATGTTCTCCAAGTGGGAAGTAGAATACTGGCTTTAAGGCAGCCACCAACTTGTTCTCCAGGAAAATCAACTTAAAATGTCACCAGATCAGCGTTAGACACAGTGTGGGTTGATGGTTAGAGCAAGGCGTGACATCAGAGTCAGGACGCTGGTTCCAGAGTGGGCTCTGCCTGTGCCAGTCACACACCTACACACCTGCTCGGGACCTTGTTTCTACCTTGGTGGGGAAGGGAGGTGATGCCATTCCTTACTGCTAAGCAGATCTGACAGGTAGGCAAATGCACCTTGTAAAACTGAAAAGCACAGTGTCAACATGGTCAGGGGAATTATTACCCCTTATCCCAGAGCTCTGTCTCTACTGGAGTTGATAATTTTCCATCTTAAGATTCTAATAAATTGCAAAGACCGTGGGTTTTGACCAAAACACATTAGCCACAGAATGTGCATTTGCATACATGTTTGTGGAATTGGCCCTAAAAATATACATGTGAACAGGGAGACAGCATAGTTCCTTGGCTGGAACTATTTGTAGAACTTGGTTCTGCTCGGAAATGATACTAGTCTCAATGTGCTTTGTGTCCATGGTTTCTCAAACTTTGTTTCCAGGGGTACCAGGACGTTCGGGATCGGATGATCCACCGGTCCACAAGCCAGGGCTCCATCAACTCCCCTGTGTACAGCCGCCACAGTTACACTCCGACCACGTCCCGCTCTCCCCAGCACTTCCACAGACCCGGTAAGGCTCGCTGTTCCTGAGATTCACTCTCGGTGATACGCTGTAGCTCCATGTGACCTTTTGCCCGTCAATATGATAACATATTGAAAAATCTCTGCTAAATATTTCTTCCGCTCTCCCAGAACAAAATGGAAACTGGTATCCAACTATATTTTGTTATATCGTTTGTTGAAATATCATTTTATGGCTATGTTCATTATAATTTATTAAATAATTGCATTTTGACAGTGCACTGTTAGAAGCAAGGGAGAGTTTTTTTTTTTAATTTTTTTAGAGTGGATGAAAATCTCATCACCTTGAAACTTAAAATGAAGATCTCTAAAAAAAGATTCAGATGGGCTTTCTAGGCATTTCAACATCATCTGAAATCAGTATTAGCCATTTATTAAGAGGTTTATTATGTTTCCCTTATCCAGGCACGTGGTATTAGTAAGCATGCTCAGTTAACATAATGACTGCAACACTAGAAAAAAAATTTTTCTCCTGGGGCCATGGCATTTTATTAAAACGATCCTTTCTGGTTTGTCATTTTTTATTGTTTTCTGTGCGTGAGTTATATGCAATTCAATCCATGTTGTTAGAATTAAATTGTTAATTATAACAAGAACATCAACAAGATTTTCAGGAATCAATTGCAGGATTTTGCTTCACGAGGCCCCAGGGTGAAAACTAGTCTGAGTTAAGTACAACTCACATGGCAGTCAGTGTGTTAAGCAACTTCTAGAAAGAAGCCTCAGGGTTGTGCTTGATAACTTTTAAGATCTCTTCCAACCCCTAAGATTTTGAATCAGACTTGGAAAACATAAAAACATCAGGGATGTCCTACGATAGAGAATACCACATAGTAGAGGACGTTAGTGGACCTTCATCTGCAGAGAATTCAGTCCCTGTGACTATAAGTGAGTGTCTCATATACATAGTAGGAGAAGGATGGAGATGGCAGCACAGATCTGAGATTCCCTGAGAAATAGATTCACAGGGGGATTTTGGTCTCTAAACAGACTCGGTGTGGCCAGCGCGGTGGCTCACACCTGTAATCCTAGCACTCTGGGAGGCCGAGGCGGGCGGATTGCTCGAGGTCAGGAGTTCGAAACCAGCCTGAGCAAGAGCGAGACCCCGTCTCTACTATAAATAGAAAGAAATTAATTGGCCAACTAATATATATAGAAAATATTAGCCGGGCATGGTGGCACATGCCTGTAGTCCCAGCCATTCAGGAGGCTGAGGCAGAAGGATTGCTTGAGCCCAGGAGATTGAGGTTGCTGTGAGCCAGGCTGACGCCGTGGCACTCACTCTAGCCTGGGCAACAAAGCAGGACTCTGTTTAAAAAAAAAAAAAAAAAAAAAAACAAGACTCGGTGGTGATGATGCACATCTGTGAGGACTTCATTTTAAGCTTCTTGCTTTTGGACAGGTTGCTGAGAACAAACCCAACCATATGCTAACTCGTTTCATAAGATGTCCAAGAAATAAAACCAAAGGAAATTAACAGAACGTGAAAAAGTTGCAATCTATTCCTTAAAACTACAGATTTAACACTTGTAGATAATTGAAACTATTCAATCCTTCAATAATGTATAATTTTCTCTAAGCTTATAAATATTTACTCAGTATTATGTTAAATGAAAGTTTTCCAGAAGTTTCTTTTTTGTGTATACCACTATATTCATTTTATTCATGCCCTGGACACGGGTCTCAATGGAAGCCCTTGTCTGTCTGTGTGATAAGAAACCCTTTATGCCCCACCCTGCATGTGTACATATGGTGAGGCCACATATGCAGAGGTCACCAGCCATCATGTTTTCAGATGTGGCATGTGTTACGGGGACAATGCTGTCCCAGAGAAAGTTTTCGTATGTTCCAGTTACAACTCTGAAGCCAACAGGCTTTAGGAGGTTCTTCTCTCTTTTCACAATATATTATATATATACATGATATTAATACCAATTGTTAGGCTTTATGATTATTTTTTTGAGGTCTACCCTTGTAAAGTGAAGCTGGTGGGATTCCGATAACATGCTTGTGATCCACGTAGAAGCCCCAAAGCGCCCACTCCCTATGCTATAGATGCCAGATGACGCTGCAGGCCCCACGGCCTGGGTTTGGCGGTAACCTCCTCTGACATAACTGAGCTTCCAGCCCCCCAGTGCGGTCGCTGCGCAGTTCTCAAGGTCACGTGTAACTCTCTGCCACCCAGAAAACACAAACAGGTTTCCTTCTACATGGGCAAAATAAAATTAAACCTCCAGTGGGATAAATTTACAGCTTAAAAAAATAATCTGACCCTGACCTATAAGTACTATTTTTCAAGTTTCTTGAAATGATTGTTTTTTGTTTTTTGTTTTTGTTTTTTTTTAAAAAAAGCATGTTTCAGAGGGTTCTGTTTCGTTGATTTTTAGAAACAGCGCTCATTGAGTCCAAACGATGTGCCCGGTACTGGCCCAATAGTATCCGGCATCATCCTGATAGAGAACGTCCCGGCGACTGTTCCTTCTCACCAAAGCCATTTATTCTCAGAGAGTGGCCCGGCACCCACCTGAACCTATTTGCAAATTCTCCCCACTTGGCCTAACCCTTAGCAGGTGTATTCGTAACCCTTTTTTCCTTCATCCTTTTCCAGACTGCTGATTAACGTTCTTTATTTTTTTTACACCCCCCACCCCCCACTCCCCCTTGGAACGATGGCACTTTCCCTGCTCCTGTGTTAATTTCTGTTCTTCTTTTCTGTTTCCACCGTGCCCCACCCCCGACTCCTTGCTGCACAGAGCTTTTGTCTCCTGGTGTGCAGAGGTTGTCCAACCTGCGCACCAGCAGCCTCAGCCCCACACACAGCGACTCCCGCCCCAACCCCCCCTTCCGACACCACTTCATTCCCCATATCAAAGGTAAGGAGGCAGGCTTCCCCAGGCAGCCCCCTGCGTAGTGGAGATTTATTAGCACCCTGGGAAGGCTAATAAGGCGCATCTCCAAGAGTTAGCACCGAGCTTCTGACCTCTCAGCATGCCTGTGTGTGTCGTAACCATCCCCAAGGGTTGTCTTAGAACCGGCATAGCATCTCTCCTTCGGAGAAATATGCCATTTCTAAGGGCTCCCGATGAAGAAACAGGAAGTATGTTTACACCATAACATTTATTACCTGCCACTTCAAAAAATATGTATATTATTATTTTGTTTTTGTATGTGTCAAAAACAAGATATAATATATAATTGGGGCATTTTCCTGGGTTTAATATATGTTATGTCTCAGCAAAACACAACAGTATTTAGTGACAAATATCCCAAAGTTTTCTTGATGGGGATGAGCCATTTAACTACATTAACACGTTTGGGCAGCTCAGAAAGATCTTTGGGAAGGTAACAAATTTCTCTCTTTGAGCCGCCTCTGGGAGCGATTCTCTTTTGATTTGTCCTGACTCCCGCATGATGGAAGAGAGAAGCTTTGCCTTTTGTTTTCTGTCTCTGCCTCACATTTCTGCCCAGCACCCTTAAAGGCATTCCTGCTGTTTTTGTCCCCATTGAGGAAGCTTCAGTAGCAGTCCTCAGCTGGGCTCTCCCTGTCGGGGGAGCCAGGAATCCAGGAGAGACTATGAAGGGGTCATAATTTAACATAAGTACAAACTCCCAGAGAGATGCTAACTTTTTCCCTAGTCTTGATTAGCAGCAAATTAACCAACAAAATAGCTAAAGGAGGGAGGAGGAGGTGAGCACAGATGTCATCATGAGTCTTAAAACAGTCCTAGAGGATTCGAACTGTGTGTTCCAAGTGCTCACATCACTGCAGCTTCCATGAGGGGCCTCAGTGTTATTCTTTTTACTGAATTTCCGTTGTCAGTCTACCCAACCTTTTCTACTTCTTGCTCCGATTTTGGAGCAACTGAGTCCTAAAAGGTAGATGCACTACACTTACGAGCATTCAATTATTTCATATTTGCTATTTCAGCATTTTTCTGTTTTGAAAATCATACAGCTGACATGCTTATTGAAGACATACACCATTTGTCATTAGCAATTTTTTTCAGTAGTTGTAGCACTTTCTAAAATTTTGGACAGAGTATTGAAATTTTATTGCTAATTAGCATTCTGGGGACAATTTTTTATTAACCAGATGTCAAGTTGATACTTCAGAGAAAGTTTAGAAAATCATAAATTATTTTTAAAAACTTAAGTTATATATATTTTAAAGAGACTTTAATATAGCAGCCCTTGGCCAAATTAATATTTTGGTTATTTCTAATATTCAAGAGAAAACACATTTTTTGATTCATTAAAATGTGATCTTCCTCCTTCGGTTATTACATGTTTCATCAGTCAGAGAGATGTTTTATGTAGAAATAAAAATGTCATGGGCCCTGTCAACTCACACAGAGTTTGTACAGACAACACATCACAGAATGTCAGTGACTAACGGTACCTCACGATGTGGGTAGCCATGAGGAGAGATGGAAAGCTTGTGGACATTGGAATCTCAGGCTTGAATGTGAGCTCTGTCACCTGCTAGCTGTGTGACCTTGGGCTGCTTATGTATTCTTTTGAGCGTCACTTGCCTCGTCTATAAACCAGGAAGGATGAGGCTGCTCTCCTTGGTCACTGGGACGTGTGAGGTGAAGTGTCCTGGTGTGCCGCACACCTCAGTCAGCGTGGTGCTTCCAGGTCACTGGACTCCACGGTTCCATTTGCCCTTCACGGCCTCCCTGTGAAGTAAACCCTGTGGGGGCCCAAGAAGCAAGGGCCTGGTTAAGGAACCGCCCGAGGGTTCACAGCCAGGCTGTGGCAGCACCTGGACCAGGCTCTAGGCCTTCTCCTCCCTAGAAATGTCATCCACGTTAGGGGCATGTGTTTTGACATAAATATCCGTGAAGTATAATTTTCAAAGCAAACTTTTATTTTCTACCTCTTTTTAACCAGAAAATTGCATTCTTATTGAGGCTAAGACAAAGAAATACTCTCAATCACTTAAATGGCGAAGTTAACAATTTTTTTTTTCAATAGAGCTATTGAATGGTTATGAAAATTATACTACCTCTGTGTGCCTAATATGGCCCTTTATTAAAAATGTGTATATACATGTTTTTTTCTGTTTTCAGTCAAATTTGAAATTTTTGATGCAGTCAAATATCCTGGGTTTAAATTCTAAAAAGCGTTAGGCCAAAAGTCATTTAGAGTGACCCAGAACTTAAAAAAACATAGTCTGTCTCCCATTTTCTTTTTACTAGACATGTATCTATGTTCATATGAAATAGTCTATATACTTCATATATAATATATAATGGACATAATAGTATATGCTTTTCAACCAGATAACCTTTTTTGCTAACTTAAAAAAAAATAATTCATGGAGAATTTCTACCTTAAAGATACTGCTTTAAAAGCTTAATATATTTGGCTAAATAATGATTCTCCAAGGAATTATTTCTTAGTTATTTTGACAAACGTGTATCCATTTAATGGATTTTTCACTTGGAAATCTCAGAACACAGGGAACCTATGGCCATTTGAGAAACATATCCGAGATATCTTTACTATAAAGCAACATCTCCCAGGGTTTTTCTGTAGCCCTTCATTTGCTCCCGGAGCTTGTCTTGTGGTCTTAGAGGAGCTATTTTTTACAATGAATGTGAGCTGGGGAGCTTGACCCCAAGGTAGGATGTTCATCTCAGATGCAGGGAGGGCGTCGCCACTCTGGCGGTGAGAAGCTCAGCCTCCCCTTGGACAGTCCACTTCCTGCTCCTTGTTTCTGATGCATGTGGCCCAGGCGCGGGGGGTCGCTGAGCCGAGGATGCCTGCATGGCTGGAAAGCTGAGATGCACGCCACAGACCGTCTCTCTACTTCATTGGCTCCTCCACCCATTTTCGATAACATCCATCTTGTTTGGGGATGTGTGTTTATTTTTGTTCTCTGAGATTCCTTGCGGCCTCATTCTGTGTTAGCATGTCATTGGGCCATTTGGACAACTTTATGCCTGTAGAGATTTGGAGAAACCGTTTTCACTTTGTTTTGGGCTTTGTTTGTGCAGTGTTTGCTACGTTTCTCCTCCTTCCCCTTTGAAATACGGCTAGACGTTACGTTCTGTGTCCATGAAGTGTAAATTCGATTTGTGAGCAGGAGGGCTACATATATTAAGTCTCTTTGAAAGGAATCTTTCCTGTTTTGCCAGAAATATGGGTTGCTATGATGCAAACATATATATATTTGGCACTTGCTGAAGGAAACAGTAACTCCTATTGACATTTTAGACAGGCACCAGCAATCTTGAAACTGTCTCAAAATTCTGGGTGCTGCCAGCTTAACCTAAGGTCCTCTTAAGATATTTATTTATATTTTGGAATAGCACTTAGCATCCAAAAAGCTAGGCAGTGTTCCAGCAGGTTTCTACAGCAGAACTGTGCACCCCCATTTCTAGTCATTTATCTTAGAATTAATCACTCAGGTTCTCATGGTTCCAAAAAGGAGAATGAAAGTGAAGACAAACCATGTGAATTTGTTATGTATGATAAAAATCTTCCCAATGAATGTTCTCCCAGGAACTAAAAGATTGGCTTATTAGGCTGACAGGAAAGGAACTAAAAATGAAGGCCAAGAAATATAAATACAAATATAAATATAGTAGCTTCTCATCACAATAGCTAAGATCACTAACAACTTAGGGTGGCCCAATCTTAGGACTTATTTAAAAGAACAAAATAGCTTTGAAAGTGATATATATGCTATCATATTATATATATATATGTATATATATATATGTATATGTATATATGTGCTAGTATGTTACTTTTAAACAATATCTGGCCAGGCACGGTGGCTCATACACGTAATCCCAGCACTTTGGGAGGCTGAAGCAGGAGGACCAAGTGAGGCCAAGAGTTTGAGACCCGCCTGGGCAACATAGCAAGAACCACATCTCTATAAAAATTTTAAAAATGTTTAGAAAAAAATTATTTTAAAATCATATTCTGGGCTGATAGGTGATGATGACAATAATACCTTCCAAATATGATATTTCACCTGATGCACCGTACATTACTTTGTCTAAGCACAAAACCTCTTAGGGTCCTCGTCAGTTATTTCCCATGAGGTTGGGTTAAAAGATACGTAAAGATAGAGTGTATATGTTGGAAAAGAGAAGCACTGCCTTCCTGAACATTTTTCTTTTTCTTTCAAAAATGCCAAAAATGTGTCATGCCTTTGGTATTTCAAGGGCTAAGAATTTGGCACCTAGCAACATTATCTATTCCCAGACCTGATTCCCCAATAAGCCATTGTGATGTGTGAAAATCACGTTATGCCGAATGACAGAGACAGGTGCGTTGCTGGATCTCTCTTTACCTGGGGTTTTAAAATGTCTTATGGGAAGTTTTAAATGATTATAGAGTTATATCTACTTATAAAGACTTGAATACATTATTTTTTTTTATTAAATAACTAGAGAGGTCAATAGTTGCTGAAAACACACAGCCAAATAAAGAACCGCACCCCACTGGTGACAGCTTACAGCCAGAATCCCCCCCGTGGAAATTCAGATAGTCGCTCACTCCACAGCCTCTGAGAGGCTTCAACCATATCCAAGAAGTGATGGGCTTCTCCTGCCACTGGCCAGCAGAGGATCTAGAAATATTTTAATACTTGGACAAATGTCTAATTCTAAAAACCTTCAACCTTCATGCCCTGCATATGCAGATAATTTTCGTGTGTGCATAATACTGGCTAATAATTATCAAAACAGATTTAATGGAGTTTCATCTGATTGGGTATTATAACCAAAACCTGTGGGAACTTTCCCTGAAACATCTGATGTTCTACGAGGACAGCAGAGTTCGAGGTGAAGGAACCCAGGGCAGGCAGCCAGGGCTCAGGAGACCCAGGAAGAGCCTTCAAAAGACAACCTGAAATAAAACAAGGACGTTGAGACCTGTTAGGCCTTCTTTTGAGAAAGGACCACAAGCATTATTCTGTTTTTCAGTTGTGGATTGCTCTTGTTAATGATTTCTAATGTTCATAGGATTAAAGAATTTTTCCTAAGCGAAACGATTAAATTGGAGTTATCCAAGATCAACTCTAATGGGAAAGTTATAAAAGGGGTGCTATTGTGATCTCATTGCTGTATACAGTGGGTCCTCCCTTAATGTCGTCAACAGAGTCCTGGAAACTGTGACTTTAAGCAAAACAACGTTGAACAAAACCAATTTTTTTCTTATCAACATTATTGAAAAACGATGTTACTTGAAGACCTGCTGTAGGTCATTTTGCTTAGCACGGAAGTTTCCAAGAACCTATCGGCATTAAGTGAGGACTTAACTGCCCTAGCAGCTAGCTTCCTTTAATTAAGAGATCAGAGAAAGAAGATGGTTAATCCTGCAGGGGAGCTTGCTAAATTAGGCCAACAAATAGCTATGGAATTAATTAGTTGGCCTACTTCAATCATCCAATCACAGACATTTATTAAGCACTTACCCCTGGCGAGGCAACCCCACTGAGCACCCGTGATGATGAATGAGACCGAGTTCTAATTCAGCCATAGGGTTTAAAACACCATTTCCTTCTAGATGCAAACCATAATCTTCCCTCCCCTGCTTTCTTCTACCTGTGTTTTTTATACTCATTTTTTTTCAGACGTGAACTTTTCTTTAGGAGAGTGATGGTAATTGAAATAACATTTTTGTAAATGAGCTTGCTAATAGAACAGTCGTTTGAGGTGAAGTTTCAGAATTTTTAGAAGCTAATATCTGGCGTAAGTAATAAAGTCAACATTAGAACGTATTTAGAGCTGGATGGTAAACTGACTCTTGAGAAAAGACAAAAGTTTCAGAACACCAGTAACCAAAAGCCTGGAATCTAAATTTGACTCAGTAACAAACCTAGATCCCTATTTGGAATATCTTACTGCCCATGTAGTACAGGTCTGTACTCTGGTTACCTACACATATACATATTGAGAAATTAAAATTCTATTCATATCTTCTTTCTGGTTCATCAAAAGAAAAAAAAAATTCTATTCAATATATTTTAAAATCTAACAATTGGCATTTTTCATACTTATGCTGGCTAGATATAGGACAATTTGACTTGAAGAAACTGGCTAGAGCTCTATTTTCTGATGATCTATGATTTATTTAAAATTATTAACATTATTAGGTAAATAAACCGGACTTCGTCCAAATTAACTTTTGTGCTTTGAAGGACATCATCAAAAAAGTGAAAAGACAACCTACAGAGTGGGAGAAAATATTGGCAAATCATGTATTTGATAAGGTACTTGAACCCAGAATATATAAAGAACTCTTACAACTCAATAATAAAAGTAATTAGCATTACTATAATAATTTGTTAACTTTAGATGATAGTCTGATATCTTCTGGTGTATTCTTGGGACAAGATGTTTGCCCCGATGTAGGGTAGGAAGACAATTTAGGCCAGTAACTAATCTGTTTCCAATTTTGCGCAAGTATCAGTTCAACTCTGCTTTCTTCCTGGTCAGAATAGAGCGTTGGTGGCTGTGGGCACTTAAGTCTTTTGCAGCCAAGCCGCAGCTCTCCTCTTCAACTCGTCCCTCTTTTCCCCCCGCCAAGAGCACCGTGCTGTCCAGCCACGATGGCCAGGCCTGTTCCCACACGATAAGCCCTTCTACACCCTCCTTTTTTGTGATGTTCCAGCCCTCTGGAATATAGGCTTTCCACTGTGCCCACCTACCCACCTGGAGAGCTTGATTTTTGATGCCCAGCTCAATCTAACAACAACTTCTCTCTGTAGCTTCATTGAAGAATTGATGGTACCTTTTTTCTGTATCACAACATTTTTCTTATACCTCTGGGTAAGCAATTACATGGTATTACATATATTCATCTTAAGGCTGTCTCGTTGGGTAAACTCTGAGCCCCTTGAGGGCGGGGACTATATCTCATTCATCTACATGTCCCTAGTGGGAGCTCAGTGCCCAGCCAGAGTAGGCGTTCAGTAAATGTTTTAGTGATTGAATCATTAGCCTGGGTGGAGCCTCATCTTTGAAGAGAAAGGTGGGGAGAGGTATAAATGGTAGAAAGGGGTCTGCCTCTATCGTATGTATTTCAAAAGTGAGAAAAACAAACATACGCTGCAGTGAAGGCACTTTGTATTCCTAAGGGGAAGGACTGGGTGACCGCACAGGTTCCCAGACTTAGCCATCGGATCAGAGATGTGCATTCTGATTGCCGGCCTCTGCTGTCATGCCTGGAAGTGACTGTATTGGGTTTGCATAACATATGCCCTTTTACATGATCGGGATTTAACCATCTGACAGCTGATCCCAAATCACGAGCAAGCGGCTTTGCATACCTCCCAGTGTCCTCCCCATCCGATCAGTTTGCTGCGAGCTCCCAGCCTTCACCGCATGCGTGGGAATGACAGCCGCTTCTAACCCAGCTCCACCCGAACTCACCTCTCTCTTACGCAAAACTAAACCTGGTATCACCTTCGCGAGCCCAGTTGATGGATTGAGTTTGTTTCTTTTGCCTCTCCTTTTTTGATGAAGCTCCTTTCCAGTCTGTTGTTTTGAATTTTTATTACGCTTGCTTTGTTTTCTTTGTTTCTCTCCCCTCTCTCATTTTGTTTTCTCCATTCTTCTCATTGGAGGCAATGAGCCGTCCAGCGGCAGGAACTCCCCTCTCCCTTACCGGCCCGACCGCCCTCTAACTCCAACTTACGCTCAGGCCCCTAAACATTTCCATGTTCCAGGTAGGAGCTGACACGGTCTGTGTCTCGGTGTCCTGTCACGGTGTAGAATGTAGCCTTGTCACCTCGTCTGTCTCATCGTTCATGCTCTCCATTGGGATGCACACAGTTGACAAACCCTAAATTGCAGGATCTGACCTAGGGGGCATTTCCAAAATGTGTGTGTGTGTGTGTGTGAAATGCCAGGAGTATATTGAACGTTTACGTTTTCTCACATCCTTTTGAAGAGGGTGCAAGACAGAGGGTACAGGAGAGTGGTTCGGTTGTTTTGTTTTTTTTATTAAAATTTTAATTTTACCTCTCTGTCAAACAGTGCCTTCTAAGATACTCCCTCTGTGGTTTGGTGTCATTGACTGATTATCACAATGGCAATCCAGTTATCTTCTCATCCTAAAGATTGAAACCACGGTGTCACCTGAGAATACTGTTAAGTTTCCTGTTTGTCTCCAATATGGAGATTCTTTTCATTGCCTTTTTTTTAAAAGAGAGGTGTAAAATTGGGTGAATTGGGTGGCCTTTCTGCAGTGTATAACTGACGAGCTACCTCCACAGCCCGTGAAGATATCTTGCAATTTAAGCTTGGTGCTGCAAGCTTTGCTCTAGTAGTGAACAAGCATTTGCTGTCACAGCACAAATAGTAATTTACCATCAGAAACTGGAAAAATCAGAACCCATCAATATGTTAATGTTTAGCATCAGCTCAATTTTATAGAAGCAGTATTGGCCATCAGAGGTCATGATACTATTTTTCTATCAGAATACATTGTTTTGCTTCTTTTAGAAACTGGAAGTAGTTTAATAAATTATCTATTATGCTAATATAAGTATACATATTTGGAACCTATAATCATTTTATCTTTTGCATTCTAAATTTACCTAATAAAAGAGGGAAGTTCAATGAGATTCGTACCACTCAGCTGGGACTGCCCTTTTAAAAAAGTTTCATTGAATCTTGGTAATCTACATTCTATATTTGGGATTTTTCACATAAAGAATGCCCCACCAAGATACAGTGCCCAAGATTCTGGGGAAGCAGAAACCTTTTGAAATTTCCCGAGTATTTGTAGTTAAAGTGAAATGGTAGCATCATCAAATGGAATTCTATATAAATATATGAATAGTATGTAGCTCTCTTTTCTTTTTCTTTCTTTCTTTTTTTTTTTTTTAATTTGGCTTATTTTACAAATTAGGGTTTTGTAGAACATCCCATCCACACATCGGGCTAACCTTGCACGTAAAAAAGTATTTACATGTTTTTTAAAAAATACTCTTGATTTTCAACATTGCTTTCCACTGTCCCACTCATTAGTTGAAAAGTAAATTGAGCCACTGGTATCTACTGGGGGCTCAATTTCTAGACAGTAGCAATTTGGGGATTTTCCCCAAACTGGTTATGTCTTCCTCACCATTAGAGCAACTCCACTGCCTGCATTTCCTCCTGTTTTAATCCTACTTTCAGTGAAGTGTGTATTTGAAATAAATGGCTCATGAATTAATTACATCTCTGTATAGCCTAAGATGTATTACAAAGGCTTCCATATCACTTGTCTATAGTAAGCCACTCATTTCTGTAACCTTTTCTTCCAGTAAATTCAATCTTTGTAATACAAAAGTTAACCTGGGTTATTTTTTGGTCAAGAGTCTTGAGTTTGGTTTGCCCCTTGGTTGATCTATTTTTCCCATCACTGAACTGGTCCTCATAATCACACACCTTTGCTTTTCATTTCCACAGATCAAGGGATCAACATTTACCGAAAACCACCCATCTACAAACAGCATGGTAAAACCCGCTTTCCTCTGCGTAGCTTTTAAATAGCAGAGTCAGCTGAACTTCTCCCTGCTGTCCTCTGAAAGTCTAACCTGCTGCTGCTTCTGAGAATCAAACTGGGTGTCCAGCATACCATGTCTTTCTGGTTTGCTAAGATGCAAATATTGTGAAATTGATTTTCTTGGATGGGGAATACTTAGCTTGATTAGGAAGCTTCTAGCCCATTTCTGATCCCATCAAACCATGTATCATCCCATTCCTAGAGAAGGGGAAGTACTGGTCACACAATAGACTTGCAAACTCTTGAGAAGACACTCTTTCTTTTTCTTTTTTTTTTTTTTCTTTGCCATCAAATAATTTAATCAATCTCTAAAATAATTTTGCTGAGCTTACAATAAGTTTGACTAATTAAAACTAGTGACAAACAGCCACCTAGAAAAATTAATTTGACTGAGCCTATATCGACTTGGCTGTTTAGGTCCTCGGTTTCTTACAGGGTGTGAAGTTGTCTGCATTTCAGAGTAGACAGGGCACAAGCTGACTGTAGATTGTGGCTCTGGTCCAACTTTCTACCTAAATGGCTCTGTGATGTCATGGACATCTGAGTCTCAGCTTTCCCATCTGTAAAAACCAGTTAGGTCAGTTTGTCTCTGAAATTCCTGCGTACTAAGAATCATAAAAATGGATTTATAATTGTTTTCCTTTTCTGGGAATACATATTTTTTTTTTTAACCCAGGAAATCACATTACTTTATGTAATTCACATTTTCCTCTACCATTATGAAGTCCCTATATATTTATCTGCCATGAATCTTTGCGAATAGATAGGAAGCCAAAACTGGTCTTCAGGTGATTTCAGAAAATGATACACAAATTACACCTGGAAATTTGAAGGCTCCCTTCAGAATCCAGTAGACATGAATGAGTCCTTAAGAATTAGGATGATATTACAAGCAAATAAAGTTGAAAATGCACAAGGAAAAAAATTTTAGGCCAAAATACTAAGGAGAAAAAGAAAAAGTATATATGATAAGGGTTCTAGAGCTAGGATTTGTTTTTCTCATCTTTTTTTTTTTTTTTAGGTTTTACACCATGTGCTTGCTTTTTAAGTTTGTTAACATTGTTTTTGTTTTTGCTTTTTATGGTTTAATGTCTTCCCACACACTCATTAACATGTGAATGTTTAACTACTGACTTCACCAATTCTAATGCGTAAGTACTGTTTGAAGTCATGCTTTTATCCATTAATTTAAGAATAAGATTCCCAGAGTTTGATTTATCAATTTAGAGACTTTTAGAAATACTGAAATCTTCAGGCCCTGCCTCTCTAATGCAAATAATCAAGTAGGATTTAAGGAGATTGAATAATGTTAGATTATTTATTTGGAAGGGATTAATTGGCTTCTTTTCATGATATTTATTTTGACTGAAGTCTTTACTTCAGTTTGTTGTAATTAAGAATAGCCCAGCCAGATCAGCACTTTCCAAAGGATGTTCTGCAAACAGCTATTCCATACCAAAGAAAGAGAGATGCTAATGCCCCAAACTGGTGTCTGTGCTCTGATGCATTTGGGAAAGGCTAGATAGATTTAACTGAAGTCACACTTTTTTTTGGTAATGCAGAACTTCTCAGTCTTTCATATGCTAACGTATTTTGTCCATCTCCAAGAAGGGGATTTAATATGTAGTACTTTCCAAGCTGAAATTTTTTTCTAATGAGGTTAGAGATTCAGAAAAACATTGTTCCATGCCTGGCCAAGACTTTATCTCTTATTATTGGGTGACGTTGGCTAAGTCATTTAAGCAAATCGAGACCCAGAGGTCACTAGAAAAATGGAGAAATTGGAGCTAAAGATTTAAACAGTTATTTCCAGATTTTAAAATGCGTGAACCCAGGAGGAAACATTCATTTTTATTTAAAGCATTATTTAATATAAATATATTCTGAAATGTTTAGTAACATCTCAGGCCAGTTTGCGAAATTAGCCAGAATCAGGGACTGACCTGGTTTGTTGCTGCTAGTTTGGCTTTTGCTGTTTTAAAGTTGGATGACTCACTTGTATCTCTGACCCTTGAACAAGACAATAAGTGAGTATGGCAAACATGCTAAATTCCTGCAAGCTAAAAGTGGATTTTCCCATTTCCATTTCTCCTAGGACTCTAGTACACATATATAGTGTAATATATATGGATTAAAGTACACTGGCCCAATATGTTCATGGCTCCTTGCCCAAAGATGCAAAGCCAGCCAACCCTCTAACGATTAACAACTACAGTCAAATGACATTATGTTTTTATCTTAGCTCTTTAACTTCAAATTACTAATTACTCTAGGAGAGCATTGTCCAATGGAGTCTTCTATGATGATGGAAATGTTCTATATCTGCATTGTCCAATACAGTAGCCAATAATCACATATGACTACTGAGCCCTCCAAGTACAGCTAGTGGAGCCAGGCATGGTGGACACTCCTATAATCCCAGCTACTCAGGAGACTGAGGCAGGAAGATCAGTTGAGCCCAGGAGTTCAAGTTCAGCCTGGGCAACATAGGGAGATGTTATCTCTTAAAAAAAAAAAGAAAGAAAGAAAGAAATATGGCTAGAGCAATGGAGGAACTGAATTTTAATTTTGTTAATTTTTGTTTTATATTTTACTTATTAAATATATTTATTAAATATAAAAGTAATTTTATTTATTTTAATTTAAATATCTACATCAAGCTAGTACTAGACAGCACTGCTCTAGAATAAGGATTTTTAGATGTAGAGCAAAGCTATAAAGCTTTGCTTCTGATGTAAAATAAGGAAAATGAGTTGTCAATAGGCACCTCTGAATGACTGGGGGCAATTGATAACAATGATAAACAGAACTCTCTGGAATTGAAACTTTTGCCAGCGAACAAAAACGCTGTAGGTGGGTTGTAGCACCGCTGCCTTACAGACTGATAGCTAAGCAACTCCTGATCCCACCTAGATGCAGCTGCCTTGGCAGCCCAGAGCAAGTCTTCAGAAGATATCATCAAGTTTTCCAAGTTCCCAGCAGCCCAGGCTCCAGACCCCAGCGAGACTCCAAAGATTGAGACGGACCACTGGCCTGGTCCCCCCTCACTTGCCGTAGGTATGCAGCTGCCGTAGGTATGCAACCATCGCAGCTAAGTCAAATGGACAGACTGCTAGGAGAGCTCAAAATGAAATACTTAAAAGGTGCAAAAACGTGAGGATTTTTGAGAAAACTATGACCAAGAGGTTAGAACAGTGAAAAGAACTAATATTGTATTAGTTTGTGTGCAAAATGCTTAAAAATTACAAAACACATCCACCAGAGCCTTGTTCTAACCAAATCCACTGAGATCCAGAACTGGTCTAAAACTGAAGGTTTGCAGAAGCTCTCAGTTATTTCTACAAAATCAGTAAGTCTTGTGAACATTGTTGGTGAGTCAAAGCCTTATGGCAAGAACATTGTTCCATATAATTATAGAGTCTAGTGGGTGAATTTACAGACTGTCTGCAGAAGCGTGACTTCTTCCAGTTAAATTTGTTTTAGACTATTTCTGGGTTGTAGTTACAATTCTCTTAGCTCTTTCACTTTCCTTATGAAATCACGTTTTCCATTACTAAAAAAACCCGCCATTACAGAGTAGTGGATGTTCTGAAATATTACTTGCGTGAAGTTGTGTGATTTTACATTATCATTTCCATGAGTTCTGTGCTAAAATGTCACATTTGAGCTGTTTCATTCTTTGCTTTATGCTTTCAAATTATGTGTGTCTTTGCTGTTTTCTCAGTAGTGAAATCACTCGGCCTAAAAAGAAGTATTGGCAAACCCAGAAGCTAATACTGAAAATGTATCAAGTCAACTTTACAAAGATATGATGATCTTATCATATTTCTGTTGACAGCCTAAAAGGCCTTCAATCTTCCAAAATTTCTTAATCTTCTTCATTGTGCTATTTTTCATGGAGTTATTTTCAGAATAACTTTTACAAGCAATGTAAGCGGATTCTAAAGCAATCAGTATTTATAGAAATAGTTGAAGAAAAATCTGCCTCCTCCGTTCATTATTCACAAGTATTCTATACATTAGGTTGATGAGGTTCATCTAGTTCCTGAAAACTTGTCTATTAGTTTTTATATAAACTGAAGAGAAAAAATCCACATTGACATTTATAATTTTAAGAACTAAGAATCAAGTCTCAGCGTTTCTCTCCCAATCCATGCCCTTCGGGAAGTTTTTGAGACCCTTGATGTTCCTAGTTCAGTTATGTTGCTTAGTGGGGATTTTAAAGCAGCTCCAGGGAGCATTAAGTTTTTGTTGTGGAAATTATTATCACTAAATAGTTTAAAGCTCTTTTGGGTTCCAAAATGAGGAACATTTCTGGTCCATTAATCACAATGATGAAAATTAAGATTGTTAGTTAAAGTTTGTTTTGATTAGATTAGCAAACTTTCCTGTTTCCTCCCATGGCCACATTAATCCAAGCCATTTAGGAAAAACAGTAATTATCTTAATCTTCCAACCAGTCCGACAGATTCCTCCTTTCCATTCCCCGTCTCCCCTTTTCTAGGAAGCTTAAATATCATACATGATGTGCTATTTTGTTCCAAAGTAACTTTTTAGCATTTTTTGTTAACGCTTTTGATTTACCTACTTGTATAAAAGTCTTCTGTGATCATTGTTCAAAGGATAAGAAAAAGGAAACATTACAGACCCATCCCTTGAAAGAAACATAAAAAGCCTGACTTTAAATGAATACATATATATTAATGGTAGAAGTCAGAGAGTAATAGTATTATGAAAAGTCCAAATATTTACAAAAAGAAAACTACAAGATTTTTCAACTTGTCACAAGAGAGTGACAATCTTACCTATTGGTTGGTAGGTAGATAAATTTGGATTCCTCTCTTTTTGAAAATTGGCCTCAAGGGACACGAAAATGACAGCTGGAGGTGCCTTTCCTGTTGACTGTGGTGAGCTCCGACCAGTGGTTAATGGGATGGCGTAGACTCAGTTGCAGCGGCAACCCCAGTTCTATTTGTGCAGCCTCCTTGTTGGGAGGCCAAAATCCATGCCTCACCTGCTTCACGCGTTGAACTGGCTGGTCACACAGGCCTGTTTTCTTGAGAAACCAGCCAGCCGTGCTGAATTGTGCAGGTGTTTTTTTTTTCCCCCTGTGTGTTGTTCACTTAAAACTGTTAAAGACCACTGCTGACCTCACCAGCCTAACAGATTGAACACAGAGGGACTAGTCTGTTAAGATTCCCTTGTCGTGGGGCTGATGTGAGAAGTTGTCTTTGCTGTGGAATTAGGAACTGACATGAGACGCAGATCTAGTGGCAGAGAGGAAGATGATGAGGAACTTCTGAGACGCCGGCAGCTTCAAGAAGAGCAATTAATGAAGGTTTGTCCTTAACTACCTCGCTGCTGTCTTCAATTCCAATTCTATAAGATCTATATTTTTCAAATGACTGCGGGTGTATATAAGCCACCAACACAAGCAAGGGGTGGTGGTTCTAGCCCTCCAGGGGCTTGCAGGCTGGTAGGCAAGACAAGTTAGGCATCGAGGAACTAGAACATTCTGCTAGGCTCTAGAAGAGATGACATTGAGGCTGGAGGTCAGAGGGACATAGACTGTTTGGGCTTTTGTGAGAAGGAGAGTGAGACTGTGTGGGGTGGGGGGAGGGTGTTGAAAGGATGCTAGAGTGCCGAGTAGAGTAAGGTGGTGCACACCCAGGTGGTACGGCACCTTCCTTCCCTTGTGCAGCCTCTGCTAAAAGAATGCCCTTGGGATTGAGTGTCTCTCCAGGTCTTTCCCTGGGAAGTGTAGGACCTTATATGCATATCTGGACCAGGAGAAAAGGGATGAAAGAGACTGCCTCCAAAAGGTCCTCTTCATACCCTCCCACCTGTAGCAAGGGCTGGCAGCATCCTGGAAGGACAGCCAAGGATAAACTCTCCCACCAATACAGGGCTGATGAATCCCTTAAAAGGATGTCTTCCCAAGATACGGGAGATGCATGTGATATTCGTTATCTGGGAGGAAAGGATACAAAGTTGCATTTATAGTTTGATCCTGGTTTTATATGTGTGCAGAAAGATACTAGATGGATACAAATCAAAATGTAAATGGTGTTATCTCTGAGTGGTAGATTATGGGTTACTCTTCTTTCCTTCTGGCTTTCCCAAAATCTGTTCCATGAGCATGTGTTATTATTCTTTCTTGTTTTTAAACAGATTAATGCAATTTCTTTTTAAAGGATGCCATCCCTAATCTCCCATTCTTGCATCAAAAATCCACACACACAAATGCACATGCCTTCTGAGATCACCTGCTGGCGCTTTTTAGGGGAGAGCAAAAAAAGGAAAATATTCTTCTGACACCCAGCCCAGCTTAGGGAAGTGGAGCTTCAACACTGAAAAGGCTAAGAGGGGTTTAGCATCCAAAACCTGACCGACCTCTTGAGGAACCACCAGGCTCTGGGACCACATGCATGCAGGCCCTCCAGAGCCAGGGAATTCTGCAGGATCTTCTAAAAAGGAACTGCTGTTCCATGAAAGTAATTGCAGACTTTGTTCTTGTTTTTTTTGTTTTTTGTTTTTCTGTGAATAGCTTAACTCTGGCCTGGGGCAGTTGATATTGAAAGAAGAGATGGAGAACCGGGAAAGGTCATTGCTGTCAGCCAGTCGCTATGACTCTCCCATCCACTCAGGTGAGCAGCATCCCGCCCACGAAGTCCCCAGGCTCAGAGCCACCTGCCTGCAAGGAGCCTATCTGGACTCTTGTGGGAGAGGCAGGACCGGTGATCCGTGATCATGGAACCTACAGAGTGTTCTACGGGAAAGGAAGTGTAGGAAACCCACTTCCGGTCACTTTAGCTTATCGGCTTGCCATGGTTGTTCCAGAAATGTGTTTCCTTTCTTCTGGAAATGGGGGGGCCCTCGGAGGGTCTCAAGAACCATGAGGGGGCCAATCCCCATGTGCTAGATCTATCTTCTAGAACACTTGTCTCAAAGGAAATCCTATAGAGAACATGAATAAGACATTTCTAAGCATTGTGATTTTACATTAACATATTCGATACAAGAGGTGAAGACTAGCAGTGTTGTTTTGACGCCTTAGGAGGAGATTTCTCATGTGCTGGGCTGAAATAGGCAATCAGTATATTTTCCCCTAGTTTTATTTGTCATAAGCTAATCCTCTCTTAACCCACAAGATTTCTTCTCCCATGTTCTGAACCAGAGCATAATTTTCTCTCCTAAGGGTTCCTTTAAAGGATGTAGTTAATGCAGGCACTTGTACTAAGCATTGTCTCATTTAATCTTCACAACATGCCAGTGAAGTAGACGTTGTTTTTGTTATTAGCAGCAGTAGCATTTTCATTTCCATCTTATAGATTGGGAGACAGGTACAGGAAGTTTAAGTAACATAACCAATGTCCCATTGCTAATAACTAGCAAATCTAGGATTTAGGAATCAAAGTATTATAACCTCAGAGCCCACACTCTTACCCAGGATCCCTACTGCTTCTCATGGATGCCTCACTGGCATCCATCTTGGATTTGGTGGTTTACTAATCTTCAAAGTTCCTTCTAATTATGAGATTATGTTCTATAAGAATCACTGGACACAATGACACGTGCCTGTGGTCCTAGCTCCTCAGAAGGCCAGGATCTCATGAGCCCAGGAGTTTGAGTCCCACCTGGGCAACATAGTGAGACTTTGTCTCCTTAAAAATAAATGAATAAATAAAAATAAAAAATATTTTTATTTATATAATACTATACCTACATAGATCAAGACATGATGACTTCAAAAAGATCATGTCCAAAGATGCAGAGGTGTTAGGTTGCAGAACCCAAATTCAAGCCTGGGTGTGCTCCCTCCAAAGCCCAGCAGCCAGTGGAGGTTTCCATGCCACTGGCAGATGGGAGACCCAATACCAGGCATCCCAGGAGTCCAGCTGGGGTTGACCCATACATCTTGATAACTTGTGTGGTCGGCTTCCCGGTCACTTACTGCTATGGTATCCACTGGGGCATGGGCTCACCTACCCAGATATCCTTGGGTTCAGCTCCTTGCTCAGCTGTTTACAGGCTGAGTGACCATTAGCAGGATACTTAACTTTTTTAGCCCCTGTTTCTTCTTCTGTAAAATGGAAGTAATCATAGCGTTCTTATGGCTATATTGAGGGCTCAAGGAGATAAAGCATGCCGCACTGGTTTCAGCCCCGCCATACTGTCTGTGCTGCTTCCCCAACCCACCCCCCACCCCCAGTGATATCACTGTCCACCCGTTCCCTGCATCAGCCAAATATTCTGGCATTTTGTGAACACTTGAGCCTCATGTGATTTGAATTCTTTTTTCTAAATCGTCTATTCTGCAAGATGGACGATACACTGCCATTTTCATATAAGAACTGGACTTCCGGTTTCCTGACAATTGCTCTCTTGTCTTTTTTCCATTCAGCTTCACATATTCCATCATCTAAAACCTCGTCTCTCCCTGGCTATGGAAAAAATGGGCTTCACCGGGTAAGACTTCTCCTCAGTTAGTTGTCTCTGTGTTTATTCCCTCCTCAGTCTGCTGGAAGTACAGGTTGAGCATCCCTATTTCAAAAATACGAAATCCCAAATGCTCCAAAATCTGAAACTTTTTGAGCATCGACATGATGCCACCACTGGAAAATTCCACACCTGGCCTCATGTGACAGGTCACAGTCAAAATGGGAGTGCACAGCACACAGCTTATTCAGCGTCCCCAAGGGGAAAAGTCTCTCCCAGCCCCTTCAGTCAAACATGCCCAGATTCCCCCACCAAAGGATAACAAAATAAAAACTTTGTTTCATATATAAAGTTGCTTAAAGTACTATATAAAATTACCATACCAGGCTATGTGTATAAGACATCTATGACATATAAATGAATTGATCTGTTTAGACTTGGATCCCCCAAGATATTTCATTATGTATATGCCAATGTTTCAGAATCCAAGAATTAAAAATCCAAAACATTTCTGGTCCCAAGCATTTTGGATAAGGGGTATTCAACCTGTACTGAGGTACTGTCTGAATACATCTGACTCTTGATGTCCATGTTGGAATATGATAAAAATTGTAATCTCTGATTTCCTGTTAAATCACTTTGAGTTGCAGGCAAAATGGAATATTTCTATTGGGAGAAGGAGAAATTGACTTTAGATGAAAGAATGGCCTGTGTAAACTTATAGGAGGACTAGATTAAGTAATTTTGTGGCAAATAGTTTTAAAGCAAAAAGTAATTACTTGAGCCGTTACTCTCTACTGTAAAAAAAAGAGAGGAAAGTTTGTTGCAACCATCCTTCCTACAAAACAAATGTAATTATGTAGCTAAGTAGGGAAATTTATTTTTATTTATCAGCAAGAGATACTCGCTTCAGTAGAGCCTGCTGGGCAGTGGCAGTGGGTGTTCTACAAAATCCGAGGAGATGTCATAGCAATAGGAGAATGAGTAGGGAAGAAAAATAATGAGCATCCAGGAATTTAGCTTGGGAAGAATTCTCAAGATTTTGGAAATTCTTTCTTCCTTCTCACCTGACTCCAAAATGATCACTGCGGAAATTTTCTAATACTGTGTTTTTCCTCCTTTCAGCCTGTTTCTACAGACTTTGCTCAGTATAACAGCTATGGAGACGTCAGCGGGGGAGTGCGAGGTGAGGCTCCCACGGCCAGGCCGACTGGCCGCGGTGCGTGAGAGATTCGTAATCATGGTGTTTGGCTGTGTTCATGCTGTATTACAGCCCTAAAGTAGGAGGGCCTTCTGTGACCTAGTCGAGAATTACTAAAATAATGTCAGAGGATCTCCAATGCAATGAAACCATAAGAAGCAAGTTTGTAAGCATCCACTGTTCCTAGTGATTGCTCCCTTAGGTGCCTGGAGCTATAGCAATAAGGGAGACATGGCCCCACCTTCAAAATGCATATGGCAGAGGCCAGGCATGGTGGCTCACGTCTGTCATTCCAGCACTTTTGGAGGCCAAGGTGGGAGGTTGGCTTGAGGCCAGATGTTCAAGACCAACCTGGGCAACACAGCGAGACCCTATCTCTACAAAAAATGTTTTTAAAAAATTAGCAGGGCACAGTGGCTCACATCTGTAATCCCAGCTGCTTGGGAGACTGAGGCAGGAGGATTGCTCGAGTCCAAGAGTTCAAGGTTGCAGTGAGCTATGATCATGCCACTGCACTGCAGCCTGGGTGGCAGAGTGAGACCCAGTCTCTTAAAAAAACAAAAAATGTGTGTGGTGGGGGGAGAGAGAGAGAATGAAGCTCTGTGTCTGAGTGGTGAATGCTGTGACAGAGATACAGAGAGAAGGAAGCAGCACCTTTAGGTTGTTGGGGAAAACATCCAGGAGAAAAGGATGTTGTAACTAATCACTAAAACTGGAGTGGGCATTTCCCGGCTTCGAGGAGGCGAGTAGGATAGGCTTCTTCATGCGCAGAGCCTGGGGCAGCGGGAGGACATGGTCTGTTGGGGAGTATTTGGGAGAATTCCACTAGAATGTAACCTCTCTGTTAATGGTTCCATGTTGTTCCATGGTCTTTCCCTTATGATATTTTCTTTTCCTTTCCTTTTCAGACTACCAGGTATGGCACACTTTGTCTGTCTTGAGCTGGCCACACGGGCAGAACAGCCAGTTTCCAATCCAGACTGCGTGCTCCAGGGCAGCAGTGTCTGCTGAGAAGATGCTTGCTGTGGTTGACCCGTCATTGCTCCATAGCTATGAAGAGCAGGCGTGCCTATCCCTGGTGCCTGGGTCAAGCTGTCCCCAAGGCCTTGGGGACACTGCATGAGTCAGGCTAGGTGTGGGGGGACCCTCTTGCCCTGGCCTTAGAGAATCCTCTCTGGGGTAGAAATGGATCAGCATTAGGCCTCTGCTTCTATACTTTTTTTTTTTCTTTTAGTAACAACCTCTCAGTACTCTAGTCCTCCCTGTTCTCACCCATTCCCTGATGAAAAGACAATCACATCTTGGCCAATAGGAAAGAGCGGTTTGCTCTCATGCATTCCTTTTTTCTCACTGGAACCTACATCTTGTAAAACGGTGATGGAGAATGAGAGAAGGGGGGAAATGCAAAGAAAACTAAGATTAAAGATAAGAAAATAACAATAATAGACTTGGCCATTTAAAATGTATCATATACTTTCATATGTGGAGCCTAAATTCAGGAGTTAGTCCATAGCTCTTAAGCCAACATCTTTCCCCAGCTTGATTACAAAAAAGCAATATTCCTGCTCTTATTCAGTAAGGATCTCATTTTGAAAAGTACATGGTAATTAAAATGACACATCTATAAAACAGTGGTGAGGATTTGAGATCCAACAGGGATGTCTGGGAGCCCTCAACGTGCTCCTCCAGTCCACATCCTGTTTTGTGCTTCTGCTTGAATGAGCATTTCTGTTGCAGACCCTCCCGGATGGCCACATGCCTGCAATGAGAATGGACAGAGGAGTGTCTATGCCCAACATGTTGGAACCAAAGGCAAGTGTAGCTCTTCTCCTTTTTTCTGGCATATGGGGGTGGGATAGCTCTAAAAAGACTTGATTTTCTGTCTTTTCACAATTCTGGAAATGTGGAAGCCAAATTTGCTCTCGGCTGGTAGATTGAGGTAAGCCATGGCATAAAGCACTTCCCATTCCATGGTTTTGCCACATCTGGTCAGCAGGGTGTGTGCTCTGTGTTCACAGTGAGGTACTAGCATTTCTTCCCCCATGACCTAGGTATTACCTTGGCCCCCGCCATATGCATTTCAAGGCATATCCAGTGCCAAGTGGAGCAGCTGTAGACAGACCACTTCAATAGGGTGACCAACATGTCCCAGGGCACTGTGGACTTTTCTAGAACTTCCATGCATCATCACTGAAAGTCTTGCATCCCAGGGACCTCCTCAGTCCCAGGCAAACTGGGATGGCTGGTCATGCTAGCTCTGCATAGAACACCATGCAACTCCAGAGGTGTCCAAAGGCTTGTGCTCCCTGGTGACCGTAAGCAGGGCTTATCTCAATATGTCACTTGCCAGGCCACTGCTGCTGGGCCTACCTGGCTCCATGCATTCATGAGCCAGTCATGGACCAAAGATTGTTGAACGCTGCACGAAGGCATCCCTGCCATATAGCAGCAACATGTATACTTGTAAAGACAACATGTATACTTGTGATTTCAATTCTCTTCTAATTTTTACCTTCATCCCCAACACATAGTAAGTTAGTATTCTTACATTCACCAAAGCCCTCCGAAGGCACAGTGCTACGTGAGACACCAGTGGAAAGTTGGGAATGTTTCGGAATCTGTCTCTGTCCCCTGGAAACAGGAGCTTCCGCTCTTGCGGGAAGAATACCCATCACTCGGATGCAGTCATGATAATCTCTTCGGGGCGGTGTTGGGATTGCTAGATTTTACACAGATTCTGCTTGGTTGTTTTCTTTTTCTTAGACATAGTCTTACTTTGTCACCCAGGTTAGAGTCCAGAGATATCATCATAGCTGACTGCAACCTCAAACTTCTGGGCTAGAGTGATCCTCCTGCCTCAGCCTCCCGAGTAGCTGGGATTACAGGCGCACCACCACGCCTGGCAAATTTCTTCTAGTTTTAGTAGAGATGGGGTCTCACTGTTGCCCAGGCTGGTCTCTCCTGCCTCAGCCTCCCAGAGTGCTAGGATTACAGGCATAAGCCACCGTGCCCAGCCAGATTCTGCTTGTTAATAAAATAGAAGAGGTGTTTTCTTTCCTTCTCAGATATTTCCATATGAAATGCTCATGGTGACCAACAGAGGGCGCAACAAAATCCTACGAGACGTGGACAGAACCAGGCTGGAGGTAAAAAAAACAAAAACAAAAAAAAAATCAGGTCCCAACTGACTATCCCTATGCATTCCCCAGAACTTTCCTGTAAGAAATGTTTTATTTCTTCAGTGAAAGCACAAAAATAAAAAAGACCATTCTCATATCATACATAGAACTAAGAGATAACTTTGGAGGGAAATTCAGATTTACACTTCGGTCAGCATTAAAATGCCTGATAATAATATCCAGAACAACCAGCTAGGAGACACGGTCTGATTTCAGCCATTTTCTTTGGAAACTTGATGTTGCCATAATCATGGCTGGTGATGGAGTGGGCGTCTCCATCTCTTTCCAGATAGCCCCAGGTCATTTTCTTCCCTTGAGGAGCCCGGGTTGAGTTCACTGGGCTCGGGGGAGGGAACTCTCATGAGAGAGGTTTATACAGGACAAATTTCTTTCGTGGCTGTTTCCGCATTCTTTGTTGAAGGGTTATCTGGGTACACATACCCAAGACCTCCTTAGACATGGAAGACTAATCCTTGTAGTTTTCCATCCGAATGATTTTAATGAACAAAATGCTCTGCCTGCCAGTCTCAGAATCATTAATTTCTCTTGACGAAAGGCAGTACCTTTGCATAGGAGGTCAGGCTGGCACAGAGAATAAAGGCTCCAGTGTCACAGGGGAACTTTTCTAGGAGTGGTGGCAGGTGGATAGTCTCCCCGGTAGATGAGGCATCCACCAACCTCCTGTTGCTGGGCCAAGAGGAAGCCCCAGGCTCCCAAAAAACCACTCCGGCCACCTTCTGTTTAGCTTCCTGTTGCTCTGGTCCCCTGTGTCTTCCCTACATCCCAAGGACCTGAAGTGAAATCACCTCCCACATCCTAGATCACTGTCCTGTGCCCCACCACTAGTCAGTGTTGTTGTCATAATAACCATTAATATTCTGCCAGCTCTTTTATCTGATGGGAAGGGGCTCCTCACCTGGCCCGACCAGATAAGGAGCTCAGTTACATGACAGTGCCTGGTGGCAAGCATGGGAGGTGAACTCCTCCCCCACCATTCTGCCTTGCCCTTCACGGTGACTGTTTATAAACAGGAGATAAGCTCTCAAGGCCATCCATTCCACGTGACCGTCAAGACTGACCACTGCTCTCTTCTCTCTTCCTAGCGCCACTTAGCCCCTGAAGTGTTTCGGGATATCTTTGGAATGTCCATACAGGAGTTTGACAGATTACCTCTTTGGAGACGCAACGACATGAAGAAAAGAGCAAAACTCTTCTAAGTCCCACACATAAATGGCAATTAGAAAAAGGACTGACAATGGCGGTGATGCATAATAGGATGTCGTATGGAGGCCAAACTTGATTGGAGAATTTGCAAACTACTGGCCCTCAGCAACACCAAAAAGGGAAAATCTGGTTAAAACACCCGAGAGTCCAATATTGGGCCAACCAACAGTAATACTTGCCAAGAAGCAATGGGGTAGAAATTTCTATGTTCCCAAACTCTGCAGTGGTGTCCACATGTGACCTTTTACATTACTTTATGTACACAACAGGAGCTCCTTTTCTTCCTCTTTTATTTTTGTTTAACTGTTGTCCAACAATAGCAGTGACTGTATGGATAAGCCAGCAAGTGCCCTTAGGATGCCGCATGGGAAAAATCAGTTGTGATAATTCCAGAGCGTGAATATATTTATTCTACAGCACTATGGCTGCGAAGGAAGAGCTCGAGGGACATGTCCATGTGGTAGCAGCAGTTTTGCACTCGCCCTTCCTAGCTGGCCTCGCGCAGCTCTGCCCGCGCTCTGCGGGAATGGAAACCCATCAGGGAACCAGGCAGCTCTGCTGGAGTGAGCTGAAACATCAGCAAAAGTAATTTTTAACAAGCTCCTTGTTCTCTTCTGTTTGCTAAGAACCTGGTTGGCAAATTGCTTAGCTGTTATTTTTTAAAAATTATTTAAAGAGAAAGAGAAGGAAAAAGAATGAAAGGGAATCCTCCCTTACCTCTTTCTGCTCCAGGTAGCTTGATTCTTGCTCCCCACCCGGGACAGGAGCTGTCTTGGGCTCCACCTTTGCAAAGAAAGGAAAGTCAGAAATTGTCTCCTGATTGGCCAGTTGCATGCTGTTGGTGATTTTGCCCAGAGGCCGTATCACTTTTGGCAAAAAAAAAAAAAAAAAAAAGTTTATGTCCTACCAGTGCAAGTTCTTCCACTCAGTGTCCTCTGCCCTCTATCTGGCATCCTTTGAATCAGATCAAGCCCTCACTGATTTTGCTTTTAAGCTTTTATCAGTAACCGGCTAAGGAAAAATACATTCTTCTCTCTTAAATCTCTGCAACTCCAAAGTAGATTCCCTCAAATGGATTTAATTTGGCCTTTTCAGGGTTCCTTCTTGCCTAGTACTGTTGACTTCAGAGAGAGAGAGAGAGAGAGAAAGAGAGAGAGAGAGAGAGAGAGTGTGTGTGTGTGTGTGTGTGTGTGTGTGTGTAACTCACCCAGGGGAGCTTTGTGAGTCTGCATGTACTTCTTAATTTCCGCTTGAATGTCTGTCCCATTGTGCTGCAGTTTCTGTGGGACATTTGCACAAGCGCATGTGACTGGAAGATCAAGAGCGAGGCTAACCCGCACCCCAGCATGGCGGCCTTCTTGGCAGGGTGTTGGTGCTTAGAAGCCACGTGCAGATGCGGCTCACGGCAGGATCAGACTGGGTGTGGAGACCTCAGAGCTAGGATCAGGCTGGGTGTGGAGGTCAGAACAGCTCACCAGCGCCCTCACATTCTCCAACACCAGATTCCGGTTTGAGCCTAGGGTTTCACCAACGTGTGTGTAGAGCCCCGTCGTGATTTCTGACGTGAGTTAGATGGGGGAGAGTTTCTGCACCTCCACACACAGGAAGCTAAATCCTATTCTCATGCTCTGAGTCTCTGCTTCAGAATTTAAGCTCTGTTTTAAAGCCAAAGAAGAAAGCATTTGAGTTCTCCTCCATTGGCCACTGAGAACAAAAGCTCAGACGTTCTTCCTACTGGCCCCAAGTGTTAGGATTACTGGCTGTCTCTCTGACACCAGTGGTAAAAAGCAAGTAGCATCGTTTCTGGCTTGTGACACAAGTCTGTCACTTGGGTGCTGGAGTGAACACTCTAGTTTTGTAGTATCCTCCCGTGCTCTTACTGAAGGAATCTATATTTGCTCTCACTGCTATGCACTGAATGTGTGAGGACTGCTCTCACAAATACGTGCGTGTGCGTGTGCGTGTGTGTGTGTGTGTTGGACCTACTAACACGTCTAGCAAATGACCCTGACGAGGTGGCCTGAGCAGACGAGCCCAGCTCAGGTGGTTTTGTTTTTTTTAAAAAGTTGCTATGTCTTGGTCTACATAAAGAGGACATGGCTCTGTCATGGAATGGGGACATTAGACTGAAAAAAAGAGGCACCCGCTCCTTTATGTTACAGAGACCCAGAGTTAAGGGGCCTGCCTAAGACTGCAATGATAGTTAAAGAACTGAACCCTAAATCTGCCCCACTAATGAAATCTGGCTTTTCTTGTATCTTTTGAACCAAAGATTCTTTTTCCCTTCCACTTGAAGGGAAAAAGAATTCCTTTCGACATCAAGTATCATGTTAGTTAATTTAAACTGCACCACGCAGAAACGCACTGCCAGGAAACACCAGCGGCCTCTGGTCTGCAAGCAGAGTAGTGCTCGGCCTTGGAAGGGGTCGCTGAACACCACAATGCGGGGTGGCCCCCTCCTCTGTTTCCCAGCAGATGGTTCCAGCTGGAAGGGTAGGTCATGGGGCATCTGGTTCTCCTCATTGCCAAACCTAACGTATGAATTACGGTGTTCTACCAGTTCTGTTCAACTGGGCTCGGCGTGCTTGTTCTCAAACTGTCCAAGCCACAGTTCAGGAGATGGATGTTCTCTGCTTTACCCCTGCCTTGTACAACACATGAAAGTTGTACTCGTTCACACACTCAGATTAATGGAGCTTGTTCACCCTAGGAAAGGAATTATATACATGGCAGGCTTCCCTGGTGCATATATAAAGGGCTACATTTTTGAGCATTTGACTTACGTGTGACTCTAAGTGCATACTGATTGCATGACTATGTGAAAGGCAGTGCTTCCTTTAAAATTTCTTCCAGAAAAATCCAGGCTATCATGTAGTCTTCCTGCGTGATTTATTAGGAGATATGAAGAGCATTTGGAAACTTGTACAGCTAGCTATGCATCTACATTTTGGTTTGGTGGTTAGTCTGAAATGTTCTTAATATGACTTCTTCAATAACTAAACATAAGCACCCTGTTCTTTGAAACCTCAGAGAGGAAAACTAGAGTTAATGGGTTAAAAAAAAAACGAGGGTAGTTTTCTATCTGTCATGTCCTTCCATCTCCACCCCCTCCCCCCTCAATTCTGTCCTCGCCCAGCTGAGTGTCCTCTTCTGAGGCAGAGACTGGAGCAGTTTTCTTTTTCAACTCTCATCTCTCCACCCCAAACTGGCATATCAATCAACTCTAACTTGGAGAAGTCTAGCTGGTAATATTTCTAAAACTTTCACTGAATTTCTTTACACTTTGAAGCAAACATCTTTTTCTAAGAATTGCTTCTTGGATGATTATATAAAATATATATATGCTTTTGCAAGTTTGAAAAATTCAAATTAATGACTTTTGACTAGATAAGTCCTTCTAAAAACCATCTCAAGCAAACTTGGTGTTGGTGTCCTCTGGCATGTTGTAGGGACAGGTGACCACTCCAGGGTGTGTCTCACAGAGCCTTTTTCCGACTGTCACATAAGACGGTGGAAGGAGAATGAACTGTCTCATCAGCCTTTCTGTGTCCTCAAGCAAGCTCGGTTTTTATAAATCACCACTTCTGTATTTCTGGTAGCTGATTAATTTGCTATGCCGGTCCTGATTTTATTTGATTTTTAAAATTGCTTTCTTTTGATGAACCAAGTGTTTGTCGGTATGCCCTAAAACTTGCTCTTTCATGCTTTTTTTCTGGGTGGAAGAACTCTCTATCCAGAAAAAGAGATGATTTAGGGCTTGAGATTTGCAGTGTTACCAACTTACAGTGATGATGTCCAATAAGAGGATTACCCAACTACATTGTGATAGGAGAGAGAGAAACCTTCACTTTGGCATTTTGTTTTAAAAAAAAACAAAACTTAGCTATCTTTATTTTTCCATTTGCTGCCCAGGAAGCAGTAGGAGATGGCGACAGACACACTTTGCATATGGATCGCTATGTTTTTATTTGGGCAAGTTTAATTTATGGCGAACTCAAGAAGAAAGGGGGAGGGGGTCCGTTTAAGCTGAAAGAAAACTTTCTAAACAATGTATGTGTACGCAGCAAAATTAAACAAATCCAACATTTTCTGAAGCTTAGTGTAATTGAGTGGCGGTTGTTATCATTAAATAAAATTCTTCCCAAAATTGTGTCTCTCCCAAGACTGAAGTTCCCATGAGTCACTTCCCGCACCCATGGATCAAAGGTGGATGCAGACGGTCCTGCAGACACTGACATTCAGAAAGATGCGAGCCGCTCGCTGACTGTGTATGCCGTGCACTCCTTGACCGTGCGGAAGAGGAGACCATTGTCTGCAAAACTGATGTTCTTTTTGGGTTTTATGTACAGACTTGTCCAATAACGTGTGTGGTTTCTGCGAGTGGCTGACGGCTCTGCAGCGAAGCTCTTGCATTTTAAGTTGGGTTTATGTTTTTTTTCCCCCAAATGTTGGAAGGCCTGTGGCTCTTCCTGCCCTCTCCCCCCCCCCCGCCCCCCAGTTTCAGAGATATGAAAGCAAATATTTAGAAGAACTCCTTTCGAAAAGCTGTGTTGTGTTCCTTGTGAAACTGAGTGGGTATGTGTCCACGCCCCGAGTGACACGTCTTGTGTGCAGAGGACGAGGTGGCCCGCCGGCTCCACGCTGCTGTGCTTACCGCCGCTGACCCGCTCCACGCCCCCGTCGCCAGCGGCACTGACTGCGCTCCTTCGCCACGACACCCCCGTCGCTGCTGTACTCGCAACCCGGTGAATAAAGTGGTGTGCTTTATTCATAAGTGCGTGCACGGCTGTGTTTCATTTCTTGTTCTCTTGCTCCTGCTGAACATCGATCCCAGTTTTGACAGCACCGGGCCCAACTTCCGATAACCAGAACAAAATCAGAACGGAACCGATGTATTTTTGTCACATAAGTGGGACAGTGAAATGCAACAAGTGACAGTATATCCCAGGGCTGTTTGTCCAGTAATTCAGACCATGCTGACCGAATTGACCAGAGAAAAGAAGTGTTTAATAGGGGTGTTAACACCGTGCTGCTGTAGCAGATTTTGTGACATAGCCAGTTTGATTTTGTGACATAGCCATGACAGTCTCATTTACACAAAGCCGGGGCTTTGAGGAGGTTTGAGGACAAGAGCTTCTGAGCCACCACGAGCGTGGACCATTTTAGTAAGAAGGTAGAAAGCAGTGGGAGAAAAGCATCATTCAAATCTTTGGCCTTCCCTACACTATAGACCTTTATGTGAAAAAAATCTAGATTTCAACTTATCTTCACTGCCAAGATTGTAGAGTTGCCAGAAAGTAGAGGGCCTAGACTCAGGATGGCCTACTCTAGCCGTAGCCTTTGTGCTGCTGTGTGTCTGTCGAGCCTGTCTGGGGACAGTCTTGCTGGCACTCATAGGGCCCCTCCCCTGGGAGCGGGACACAGCTCATTGTCAAGACAGTCAGCATGTTTTGTCCACTACTACAGAAAACAGGTTGGGAGGCCCCAGCTCAAGGCCTGTGTCCTACCACCGCTGCTGCCACCCACACTGGTGTCCCCGCTTTGGTCCCTAATTCCCGCAGCCAGTGGTCATCTCCAGTCCTTATCGTGAGCTCTCTGTGGCACTTGCTCTGGTGGCCACCTTGTCATGGACCTTGACTTCTGCCTCATTTCACTTGCCAGCCCTCACAGCGAAGAGCACACACCTTTACCGGGGGTCCAAGGACCTTCACAGCAGGTCCTTGAGTCACCCGCTGCCCACTTCTCCCCACCCCCGGCCAATGCCCTGCCTTCAAATCTGCCCCCACCGCACCTCTTCCAAAGCGCTGCAAGCTCCGTGCTCTCTCCTGCCTCCGCAGCTTTGCCCAAGGCATCTCTTCTCTGTAATGCCCAGCTTTGCCAGGAGGTGGAGAGCAGAGAGGATCTGGCCCCAGGGAAAGGAGGTAAGGCCAACATTGATTCTTTAAAACCAGGCAGGTACAGTGGCGCACACCTGTAGTCGCAGCTCTTTAGGAGGCTGAGGAAGGAGGATTCTTAATCCGCACGCAAGCATAAGATGGTTTGAGGTTTGAGCTATGATGACACCATGGCACTCTAGCCAGGGCAACTGAGCAAGACTCTATCTCAAAAAAAAAAAGTCGCCCACCAGCTCTTTAGAGTTACTCATGTGCATTTCCCATGGGCTCTATTGCCCTAAATCAAAGACAAGCCCAAGTTCATACCCTTTCTATGAGCCTGTCTTGATGTGCCCAACCCAACTTGCTCCAGTAAATTCTTTGCATACCTCTGGTTGAACCTCAAGGTCAATACTAGCAAGTGTTGCTTCATACTGGTAGCCACATGTGTTTCTGCTCTTCAGCTGAACCATAGTGAGTTCTCTATGTTGAGTGCCAAGCATCCTGGCTTTGCATTAACCATATCCCTCTCCATCTGGGCAACATAGTGAGACCCCATCTCTACAAAAAATTTAAAAACTTAAAATTACCCAGGTGTGGCGGTGCACGCCAGTAGCCCTAACTATCCAAGCTGAGGCAGGAGGATCGCTGGAGCCCAGGAGGTCCAAGGTTGCAGTGAGCTCTGATGACACCTCTGCACTCCAGCCTAGGTGACAGAGTGAGATACTATCTCTAAAAACAAAAACCCATGTCCCTCATGGCAGCCCTACACAGCAAATAAAAGCTCAGGAGCTATTATGATTAAACATGCCTGACCACCACTCAGCCAGTGAGCAGCAGAGCTGGGATTGTCCGGGTCTGTCCCTGTTCGGGTCCCACTGCCGGTGACCTTCTTGGGACGAGGACTGTGTCTCCCACATTCTACACGTCCCAGGCACACTGCACAAAGTAGGTTCTTGGAGTGAGAATGGCCAATTCCCCTCATCACTACCACCAAGGTGCACTTATGAGCAATGTTTGGGAGTTACTCTCTAGCTGTGTGTCTGGGGGCCAGTTATTTGGCCTCTGTAAGCCTTGATTTTTCCATCTGATGAATGGACAAAATACACCCACCAGAAGACTGTTGCTAAATTATGACACATGTTGAGCACTTAGCATGGTGCCCAGCACCTAGTAACTGTTCAAGAAACTTTAGTGACCTTTATTAAGAAGGGTTAGCCATTTATACCTGAGGAACCCCAGAAGCTCTCTGAGCCTCGCTTTCCTCATAGATAAGTTGGGAATGAATACTTGCTCTGGCTGTCAGTAATGAGATGGGGTTGTGAGGGCAAATGAAATAGAGTGCTCAAATATAGGAAAGCATGTAATAACAGATGATATTCAATAAGGAGGGTTTGGGTAAGGTCTATTACCATTGTAAATAATCATTCGAGAATCTTAGTTTTTGTTCTGAGCTTTTCTTCCTCCTATTATTTACAGGATGGTTCTCAGCAATCCTCCCTCTAGTCCTCATGTAAAGACTATAGCATTAAAACAAGCCTGTGATCTCTTTTATGTACTTCTCTCCATCCAATAGTAGTCTGGGATAGAGATCCTGTGATGATGCACTAATTAGTAATAATAACCACTGAGAGCAGGGTATAGAGCTGCAGCTCCACCAATAACTAGCTGGATAACTAGTGACAACATGCTTAACTACTCTAAGCCTCAATTTCCTTTTCTAGAAAAGAGGAATAATAACAATACCCACCTCAAGGGGTCATTGTAAGAATTCGTGTAGAATAGGAGCTGGCATGATACAAAATGAGTAATTAAACATGAGCTGTTATGAGCTGAGCATATTATGTGGTTGCTTTCATATAGTTCCTTGTGCCACTGCTATTTTAGAGGTAAGGAAACAGACCCAGAGAGACTAAGAGTCTTACACAAGATCTGCCTACTGAGCAGTGGGACTAGATTCAAACCCCACCTCTCCAATCCTAAGCTCCACCTGTGGGCAGAAGGGCAGAGGTTCCCCCCGCCCAATCCTCCCACCCCTTCCCACACCATGGTCAGCCTGGGGCAGGGGGCCAGACTGCCCCACCTGGAAGTGTGCCAACGTGCCAGGTCGGGGCTCAGCACTTCCAGAGGGGTTGCCTAGGTGAGGAGGATTTTCTCAGCCTACTCAAGAGATAGCTGGAAACACCCCTTGCAGAAGAGCTGAGACTCATTCCCATGAAAGATGGTGCTGGTTCCAGAAAGATCTTTCCAATTCTGCTACTCACTTCAAAGTAACCAAAGGCTGCAAGAGCTGAGCTGGCAGTCCTTAGAGCATTTGGGGACGTTTCCTCAGCTTGAGAAAGCCACCAGTCCTGCTCAGCCCCTCCTGCTTCTTGCTTGAAGGAGGGCCCTCTTCCCTGCAGGGCCAGATAGCCTTGCCTGGGTGTGTCTGCCGGCCCAGCCCTGCTGGGCATGGCCCATGGGAGGCCGGAAAGTGCTAGGAGGGGTGGAGACTTGGGGCTGGCAGCTTTTGAGAAAGACCAGGATGGTTGGGGAATAGTGCCCAAAGCCTCAGGGAATCCCAGCCCCAATCCTAAGGACCTGCTTCTATACCCAAAATTCCCTTCTCCCCCACATGAGGCCAGCAGGTCTCTCATCAAAAGTGTCCCTTCTGCTCCTGCAGAGCTCATGGGTAGGCAGTGGCGAGTCCGGGCTATGGAAGAGGGGATAGTATGACCACATTTATTTTACTTGCCAATCTCAACTGGATGCAACTGCTCTCCAGGGCCTGCCATTGTACTCAGCACAATCGCAGACCCTGGAGAGGTTTTTCTGTATTTATTTGTGCTGTCCCAGCTGCTGCCTCTTAACTCGGCCCCTCCCATCAGATAAAAGAAAAGTTGGCTTGGGAAACCTCCCTTCCAGAGCAGAAGCTGTTTCTGCTTGGCCCCCAGCATGTGTTAGCCGGGGACCCTCCCAGGACCCGCAAAGAGGCTGCAGGTGGCAGGGCAGAGCCACGGGCAACTTCTAGACCCAGAACTTTCGAGATTCAGACTCCCAGGTATGTGAACCCAGAGGATATGAAGAGGATGGTCTGATAGCAGCTGCAAACACGTTTTGGAGGGTCTGCAGGGTGCCAGGGGCTGGGTTCAGTACTCTATGTATTAATAGATTATCTCATTTCATCTGAGAAGGGCAAACCCAGGGCTGGGACGGGCCCACTGGCAGGTGGGCAGGAGTCCAGCCCCCTCCCATCAAGTCCAAATGCCACCTTCCTCCGAAGGCGGTCATGGCTCTCTGGGGGTCTCCACACTGTTAGCACATGGCTTTCTAAGGATTTGTCTAAAGGACTGTATTTGCAAAGACAAATACCAGCCTTTCTCGGCAAGGTGGAGCCTGGCCATGAATAACAACATTTTGTTCTAAACTGGACGGATGCTGGCACAGGAAGAATAGGTCCTTTCGTTCCTGCTATTGTCTTAAAATGTATGCTTCTTAATGAAAACTTAGAAAATGTTGATGCCAGTTACATTCCCATCAGATAGGAACAAGTCAGCTGGCTTCTCCTGTTTTTTTAAAAAAATTATTATTATTCCCCTTCCCTGCATAAAAACAAGGTGCTTCAGACAACTTAGAGTAAATTGCTGGTATTTCTTTCTTTCTTTTTTTTTTATTTAAGTGTATTATGGGGGTATAAGTGTTAAGGTTACATATATTGCCCATGCCCCCTCTCCCCCCTCGAGTAAGAGCTTCAAGCGTGTCCATCCCCCAAACGTTGCACATCTTATTCATTGTGGTTGTATATACCCGTCCCTCCTGCCCCCTCCCACCCTCCCAACACCTGATAAATGTTACTCCTATATGTCCACTTAGGTGTGGATCTGTTAATACTAATTTGCTGGTGAGTACATGTGGTGCTGGT